TGTATTTCGGAAATAAAATTACAGCGGTCATGCATGTGAGTGACAAGAACATCATAGTTGTTAGAATAAAAATGTGTGCATGCCATGTTTCTGACAGAGCTAGTCATGTTTTTCACTGGTTTTCTTTATATTGCTAACAATAAACACTTCCACAGTTTTGCATTTGCTGTGTGTTGGCTCTGTTGAAAATCTACTGTTTGATACATCAGTGACTGGAATTCTTGTCTGTGAGGACTCCATTTCCTGGATCTCTGCTTGAACGCCTTCAGAAGTTGAGGAAAGAGGCCAATCAGCTTCCCTAAGTAGTTGCAGATTCTAAAAACATAGAGACTAATATTCTTGGCCATTTTAGCGTTTTTCACTCTTGCAATATTAATATTTTTCAGATATTTTCTAACTGTTACCATAAACTTATACAGTGAATCAGGAATTCTTGAATTGAAAATAGATAGTTTGGAATAATTTTGGGAAAAATACAGGACATGTACGGGTGAGTTGCATGTCAGAAGTTGAATTGCTAGAACTTCCCAGAAGTTCAGTCTGTTTTCAGAAGGTATTTGTTTACAGAGTCTGTGAGATTAATCTCATGAACAAGCTGCAGGGAAAGAAACGACTTGTAAATGAAGGGCATGGCAAATCGTTTTGTGTAATATGAGTTGTCCAAGTTAGTCTTATTGCAGTGTCACAGTGATCTGCTAGGAGAATGAAGGATGAAATGTGCAAAAGGTTTAATTTATTCAGGCTGAGAACTATTAATAATTCAGAAATGTTTCAGTTCTTGATGCTCAGGGTCATAAATGGATGAATAGTGTATGTACTATTAGTGTCTGCACAAGAAATTCTTTGAGAAGGAAGGATACTAGATTTTTAATTGCTGATTAAAGCTGATGCTTTCTAGATTAAGCCATTTTTCTAATAAATGTCTGGGTTTGTATTATATCCAGCTTCTTGTTTTGCTAACTGAGAACAATACTGAAGATTTAAAATAGATTTTAAAACAGTTTCCTTTCTTTAGCAAATATGAGTCTCAAGTCTGCATTATGGTGTACAACAATATAGTAGTTAATAATGTAAGTTACGATTTACACAGTTGGTCAACCTGGAAAAAACCACAATCTTTCATGTGCACAGATGCACAGAACAAAGAGCGTAGCAAAGAACATGTATGTAGATTTGCTGATGACTCATCAAGTTTGATTGTTTGCCAAATTGAATTTCAGTGTACATCATCACCAGACTATCATGGTAGCAGCTTCTTATTTTTAATTAATTTTCTTTTTTTTCCTTGACTTACTTACGAGATTTACGTGGTTATTGAGACTTAGTAATTTAGCCAGCCTTCTTTAGTATGCTGTTTTTTGTTTGTTTTAATTTAAGTAGCACTGAGATGTATATCAGAGTAATAAGCAATAAGATTCAGTGAACATTGAAAATAGTACTGTAAAAATTCATTGTTGTTTTATGGAATATAGAGTAGTACGAGCAGATGTGTTGTTTTGAACTCTGGAAAACAAAAACAAAAAAAAGATGCTTATCCTTTGTATGGGAAATATATTTCCCTGATTCTGACATTTAGATGCTGTATGGTTTGCATGCAAGTTTGAATGTTATCTTTATAGATGTTAAACGTTTTTTAGATGCCTACTGAAATTATGAACAATCTATTCATGCTTCTCTTTTACTCCAGTGGGTTTGGACTCAAAATTTCAAACTTCAGCATGTAAAATAACATAGGTCTCAAATTTAACTTGATGAGGAATATATTACAGGAGAAGAGTAATAAGTGTAGCTACTGTCTCTAAAATAAAATAAATTTAACCATGATGCTTTTTTGTTATATGTATTGAAACTGTGTTTCCAAAGATGGTTATTTTTTTCTCATTCAACCATATTCCTTTAGAAATATGTTGTTAGCATTCATATAGCGATGTCATTGGATAGTTCATCAACCAGAGATATTTCCTGTAGTGCTGTGACTCTAGACAGACAGTAATATGCAGCAGTTGTCTTTAATACTTCATTTGTATTATGCTTTTTCTGTCCCGTGTGGTGAGAGTACTTCCAGTCAGGTTTACATGTGCAATAGAGCCATGCTATATTAGAAGCATATTCCTTAATGGTAAGCTGGAAAAAAAACAATTTTTTATTCCACTGGTGGCTTTTTTTTTTTTCCTTTGTGGAGAGTGGAGGTTTGTGTAGGGAAAAGCTGTTTTTCTTTTTCTTCTTCTATCCTTTTTTTTTGTTGTTTTGTTTGTTTGTTTTTCCCCAGAACTCAGATTCTTCTTTTTCTGATTTCATTTATTACCTCTTTGTGTAATTATTACTCTGTATTACAGAGTAATACAGTAGCCATCAAGGTTGCAGAAAAAATAAGAGAACGTTTAAGTCATGAAATCAATCCATGATGAAGTGGATGAGAAAATAGGGCCACTGAACTGTAACTCCAGATGTGTTGAACATGGGTGAGGGTGTTTTTTCCAAGCCTGGGTTGTGATTAGACTGCTAGGACAAATCACAAATAGAAAAGTTTGCTGTCAAATGTTGGAAAATACCCTTCTTTATGTTAAAACTGAGGTGTGCTTCAGTCTTTGACTTTGGTGTCTCTAGAGAGAAATGCTGGAGTTTGTGTTAACCACGAGGTTAGTGCTTAAGCACTGCTGAATGAACCACTGTAATATCAGCATGCAAGAATCATAGAATTATAGAATGGCCAGGGTTGAAAAGGATCACAATGATCTTCTGGTTTCAACCTCCCTGCCACGGGCAGGGTCGCCACCCACTGGAGCAGGCTGCCCAGAGCCACATGCAGCCTTCCTTCCAGAAGAAAGAATGGCTTTCAGTCTGACAATGTCAGTAACAAATCAGAAAAACTGCCATGAGGCTCTACTGGTATTTGATAAAACAAGCAGTCTTGAACTTTTAGTTTTACATATTATAGGCTTCTAAAGAGTAAATTTAGCCTAAATACATAGACAAATATATGTTAGTGACATTTTTCCTGCACAAGTTCAATAAAAACTTGCTTCTGTGGTCATACTTGACCTTCTGAGCCTGCATTCATAACATTTAATAGAAACACATTTTTTTAAGGATTGTTATAAGAATATATCCAGATAGCTTGCTGGATGTTATAGTAGATAAACTGTTTTACTCTACAAGTTTCTTCTCTTTCTTCTTAAATATTTTTTTCTTCCTGTTTTGTTTTTGAAGAGAATCATCATAACATAAAGTTGTGTAAGTATTTCTTAGCCTACCAAGGATGCCCCTTCGTTCGTCAGGCATGGTAGACTGGTGAATATACAGTATTAACTGTAGTTTTCACCTCTCAATGTAGAAAAAGTAAATGGTACATCATTGCGGTCCTCAGGATCTGTTACAACACATGTAGTATTGATTAATGTAGGAAGTTCCATATAGGAAACTATTTCAATAAATAACAGAGGTGTAAACTAAAAAAAAAAAAAAAAGAAGGAATTAAATGTATCGTATAACAATAGCATTACTTCTAGTTCTTATGTAAAAATGGTGATTATGGAGAAGGGTCCTGGTATCCCTCCTGTGAGAGAGATCTTGCCTTTTTCACTGGTGCATAGGAGGATGTTCCTTGGGTGTTTGAAGCCACAGACATCATCCAGCTTCTGAAGAAAAAATTCCATCTGAGATGCAGCTGGTTTCAATCAAAAGATTGCAGGGCAGGTCTTCAGTAGCATGCGTGCTAGGGATTTTGGAAGGTTTCACTGGAGGAGGTCAAACAGCAAAGAAAGACCTTCTCTTGGAGCATGGTGAATCTTTTGCACCTCATCAGCAGAGGGGCACGCAGGAGCAGGTGGATGTCCCCCACAGGAACATTATGTGGAGAGTCTGCTGTTATGAGCTTACCCACCTCATCAAAAGGGAGCAGCTGGCTGATCACCTGGTAGCCAGTGAAGATCAACCCACTGCAATTTCTTAATTTTGTTGTGGTTTTGACAAAGACTACAGCAGAGATGAGTGTCACCAAGGGGGACTTGATTCCATTTTGTTTCTGTTTAGAAAATCAGTTCGTCCTGAAGTAATTGCACTCCTGAGTATTAATGTGCTCACTGTAGAAAATAGGAAGCTAGAAAAAAGTAATCTATTGAAAATGTATTGTTTGTTGTAATTTAATAAGTGTATTATTTTAGGGTTTTTTGAAAATCTATCTAGTTAAGAGAGAACGCTGTGACTTTCTATAGTCTGCTTTTTTTTTCCTTTTTTTCTTCTTTTTTTTTCTAAATCTAAAACCTTTCAATTCCTTAGTACTTTCGTAATTAAGGAGCATAACACTACTGAAGTTAATGCTGAAAATCAATAAGGTGCAAGTCAGGAAACCCAGGGGAGGAAGAACTAAACCTCAGTCCAGTTGCTTTCTGTTTGTGCATATGGCTTTAAATATAGTATAAATTTATGTCTATCTGTCTAATAAAGTAGCATAAACAGTAGTTTAGCAAGTATGATGTAAACCACCAGATGGAGTAGTGTTTCCATGAGAAATTCAGAGTATAGCGAGGACACGTTTTTGTTTTGTTTTGTTTTTTCATAATGTAAATTGCAAGTGCAATTACAGAGATACTAGCCAAGCTTTTTTTATCTGCTCTCTTCAGTGCTGCATATTAAAGAGCACATTTCTTAGCTTTTCATGATGAGGTGTGGTTTAGCTTTCATGTTGAGGCTAGGGAATGTGAGAATGTTTTTTTCCTTTTTTAATGGTATTTGTATTAACCTGAGATGACAGATAAATTGCATACAAATGTGATGATTTCTTCTCCTTTTGAACTTTTCTTTATATCCTAAACTTCATCTATTTGCCATGTTGTTCCTTTACAAAAGCTAAAGCAGCTAATCTATTTTCTTTGCACAGCACTTTAGGAATAGAAAAGAGGCAGGTGACAATTATGCCTGAAAACTTACATTTGGTGATCTTTGTTGCTGTTTCACTCTATTTTCTTTCTTTTGTTTGTTTTTCCCTCACATTCTCCTAGGATCTTCTTGCACAAGAGCCTAGAAGTATTTAAAGTTTGCAGAATGAAAAGATGGCACAGGCAATGCTGGTACCACCAGGATCTGACTGCTTCTTCTATTTCACCAAAGAGTCCCTTGCAGCTATTGAAAAACGTATTGCTGATGAAAAGTCCAATCGTGATAAAGATGAGCATAAAGATGACGGTGGTCATGAAGAAGTTCAGCCGACGCCAAATAATGACTTGGAGGCAGGAAAGACGCTGCCATTTATTTATGGTGATGTTCCTCCAGAAATGGTATCTGAGCCCCTGGAGGACTTGGATCCATATTATATCAATAAAAAAGTAAGCATTTATTAATATTCTGATTAGAATACACCTATTGAACTATAAAATGGTAAATGCTGTTGTTTGGAGGTAGTTAGGAGTCCTAGGGAAAGCACTGTTTGTAGGTTGGTTGGTTGTTTTTTGGAAAGAACTTCACTTTTATTGTCTGATGATGACGTTTTGGGCCAGTGGATTATGAATACAATTAGATGTATTTTAATCTCTTGAAATCTGATGCAATGCTGAAGCATCTGAAAACAACTTCTGTCTGGGTATTCTGTTCCTGGGGTTTCAAAGCAGTATATTCAGTACTGAGATACAGCTGAGGAGACTAATTTATATTTTTGTAAAAAGCAACTCAGTTAAAGCAATATTTTTTTAGTACAGAAAACAGGAGGTTTCAGTGTTAAACCTGCTTATTAGCAGATATTTGCCTTTTGGGAGAATAATAATGAGATATAGGTCGACTTAAGTTTCCATTAGAGAGCAGTTTGATTGATTGTTTTCTAGTCCAAATCAGAAATGGTTGAATTAATGGTACTAGAAATAACTGTGCAGACAAAATAGGCAGTAAAGCCTTTAAGAGCTCAGGATATATAATCTCAGAAGTAGTTTTAAAGGTGATGAAGTGATTGAACAGTTGCTGTTAAGTGTCCAAAAATGGTTAACTACGTGCTGTGCTTTGCACTGCCAGGTTGATTTGAAGTGCAATTAATATAGTTGGATGCATTTTTAATGTTTTAAAAGGATTATTTTTTCGTTGTATTTTTCACTTATTTACATTTACTGGAAAATGTTGAAATGCAGAATTTTTTGTCCCTAATTTCCTATTTTTCTCTCCCCTCCCCCTCTTTCTTTTTAAAGACATTTATAGTATTGAATAAAGGGAAGACAATCTTCAGGTTCAGTGCCACATCTGCCTTGTACCTTTTATCTCCTTTCAATGTTATCAGAAGAGTAGCTATTAAGATTTTAGTTCATTCATATCCTTTTCAATTGTTTTTTTTTAAATTGCTGATCTTGGAAATATATTACCTTTCTTATTTTAGTATTTAAATGTGCTCCTGCCTTTAATTCTTTGTCTGAAAATGAAGCAGAACTAGCTCATAGAAATGGTGATATAGCAATGATTAATATGAAACATCTAAACTGATTTGTATCATCATGTATGTTGTCAGTGTTCTGTAGCCTGGTCAATTCCATATGTTTTGTGTAATGCAAATTAAGCTGTAAGTGCATGTTCCTTAACTACAGTCCACGCTGTTCAGCATGCTCATTATGCTCACGATTTTGACAAACTGTGTATTCATGACATGGAGAAGACTTCCAGAATGGACAAAGAATGTAGAGTAAGTTAAATAATCTAATTATTATTAAGCTGTGTTAAAATGAAGAGATAAATTAGGAGCTAAGCCATATGTTTTTACATACTATTATATATGAAATTGACTCTTGCCTGTAGTTTGATTCGAGCCACAACTCAAACAACCGCAGACTTGTAAGGTATAGGGAGAGAAGTTGTGATATTGTTAACTTTTACCCTAAAAACTTTGATTTAGTACTTTTGTTCAAAATGTTTTTACTTAAATGTTTTTATGCACTCTGTCTTCAGCTTTTTCATAAGCATTTTTATTAAAAGTTAAAAACAGAATAAAATACAAATTAAAAAAAAAAGTCATATTTCAACTCCTGTTAATTCTTTTCAATAAGACTTGGTATAGCACCTATGAAGCACCTTCAGGTTTAAAAAAATCTGAAAATTTGAACTTAAGCTCTGCAGGAGATTATTGTTTGGCATTCTAAAGTCTAACTGGTCAGTAACTGTAGAAAACACTGTTTCACTTACCTGTGCCTTTCATTTCTGGAAATACCATATTGAAATTTTCAATTGAGCAAAGAAGTTTCCTTCATATTTGTGATGATGATGATTTTTTTTGGTTCCAGTTCCAAAATCCTACATGCTACACACTGCAAAAATGTTTCAGAAAAATAAAAAAAAATCCCATAATCATGTGGAACGGTGGTTGGAAAACAGACATATTTTACGTAATATCATAATTCCCATTACAGTTCATTTTATGGTCATCACTGGTTTTCAGTGATTTTTGTCCATGATGTATGACTGAATTACAATTTTTATATTTTATTTGGATGTGTTCTCATAGGTACACTTTCACTGGAATTTATACTTTTGAATTTCTGGTAAAAATCCTTGCGAGAGGTTTCTGTATAGATGATTTTACTTGCCTTCGTGACCCTTGGAACTGGCTTGATTTTGTTGTCATTTCCTTTGCGTAAGTTTGTTTATTTACTTACTTGCAATTTAAATACCAGTTACAATTCTTTTAGAAACTCTTGTAGGTAGTTTGTGTTATGTTAGATCATTTAAAACTCAATTGTAGTCAAAATGTGTTTTAAATTTTCCCATTTTAGTATTTTACAATGATCTAACACATAGCAGAATTGATGTACTATCTCACAATACAAAGGAGAGGTTGCCACTGAACAATCTACTTTAAACTCTCAACAATAAAATTGGGGTAATCGGTTTCATTTCAGATTACATTAAATGTAAATACTTAAGGGTTATGTTTCCTTTGTTAAGGGTTATGTTTCCTAGGGAAAACTCGATTGAAACAGGAAACTGTAAGTCTTTCATTTAAAGTTGTCCCTTCCTGAAAAGTAATCTGGATTACAGGTTCACGTAAGTAGTATACACTCGACCTTAATTCTGAATAACTGTAATTTAATCCTACAGGTATATAACAGAGTTTGTAAACCTAGGCAATGTTTCAGCTCTTCGAACTTTCAGAGTATTGAGAGCTTTGAAAACTATTTCTGTAATCCCAGGTAAGAAGTAACTGTGTAAAGTATTAGGCTTTCTATATCACCTCTGTTTAATTCTGTGTGTGCTGTCATTGTGTTTGTATGTGGAATCCCTCACTACAGATATGTGACAGAGTTTGTGGACCTGGGCAATGTCTCAGCACTGAGAACATTCAGAGTTCTCCGAGCTTTGAAAACAATATCAGTCATTCCAGGTGAGAGCTAGGTTAAACACTGAGGCTGATTACAGTTCACGTTTCTAACATAATTCGTCTCTAGTGTTAACTTAAACTAAATCAAACTAATTTCCTTTTTCTAATTATAATGCTCAGCCTCAGAGTTTAACGTATTCTTGCATGAGAAATTAACTGTATAGTGTGTGTTTCCATTTTGTGGTGTCAAATTTTCTCTCCCACATTAAGGATCAAAATTAATTACCTTCTCATTATTCTCTTACTAATGTGAATGCTACCTCTTATATAGCTGTATAGCTATTGGGGATTGAAAATTTCAATGTATTGAAAAGTATAAAACTGAATCCCTGATAAAGGAATAAGATAATAGATTAGCATGTGAATTGCATGGTGTAGTTGTTATCTTAAGATGCCTATCTTCTCCATACCATCTCCAGCTGAATAGAAACCATTAAAATTTCTGCTACCTTGCAACTATGTTTTGTTTCTGTTTGCTGCTGTAAAGCAAATGTATTGTGAATTGGAAATGGACACTGGCAAACGTTTGGAGCAAGAGGCATCAAGAAGAAAATAAGACTGGAATGATTTTCTTCATATATAGTTAACTTGTATAGGAAGCATGAGTAAAAACACTAAGTGTTTATTTGAAAAGTAGGCATTTTGGAGTATATACCATTCATTCATTCCCATTAATAGTTTCCAATTGGTTTATCAGGAATTATGAGACTTATAGGTAGTTTTTTTTCCTTTGGGGGGAAAAAAAAGCCCCACCAACTTTGCAGCTATGCATTGTTTCAATAGTTTGTTGGAGTACTCCACATTGCATTTTAGACTAGGTAAATATCTAATTTTGTAATAAAAATCTGCCTCTGTTTGCAGGCTTGAAGACTATTGTGGGAGCCTTAATTCAGTCTGTGAAGAAGCTCTCAGACGTAATGATCTTGACTGTTTTTTGCCTGAGTGTGTTTGCACTAATTGGACTGCAGCTGTTCATGGGCAACTTGAAGAATAAATGTTTGTTATGGCCATCAAGAAATTCAACCTCTTTTGAAAAATACTTAGCTCCATACTTTAATGGTACAGTGTTTGACTGGGCAGCGTACATTGATGATGAAAGTAAGAATTACTGTTGTAATATGCTGAAGTATTTGTGTATAATTACATACACCCAAACGCATTAGATTACCGTGTTGTGCTAAAAGTAAAAATTGATTAAACAGAATGACAAAGAGTATGTATTTAATATTTTCATTCTGACATGATTGTTTATTCAGTTGATTGCTCTATGAAATGTTTATAGGGTTAGGTTGGAATTGCACAATCAGGTTAGAAGAGGCCTTCAGAGTTAAGCTGCTGCTCAGCTGCAAGATCCAGTTAGAGCTGGCTGCTGAGTGCTATTTTATGTCGAGTTTTGATTATCTCCAAGGACAGAGATACCATAACCCCTCTGGGGAGCCTGCTGTTTGACTCTAATCGGTTGTGTTTGTTTTTTTTTTAAATATCAACTCAAAATTTCCTACGATCAAACTTGTGCTAGTTGGCTCTTATCCTTTCACAGTACACTTTATTAGTCTTCTATGTGATATTTATAACATGAAGATTTCCCTAAGGCTGAACAAAACAAGTTATCTTAGTCTCTCCTATGCTTTTTAAGGTTATCTTTAGATTGTAACTGAGACAAAAGAACTCTAGGCAAATGTATGAGATTTCCTAGTTAAGATACTTTATTATAGGGTAGAAGTAAGAATACCTTTGCTATCTGTGATATGAAAGAACTTCCTTGGCAAACAAATTCAAAAAGTTCATTTATGTTGAGGATGTTATTCATCTGTAGGACCTAGCCTAACTAAGGGGACTGACAAAAATATATTCACCCACGTAATTTTCAAATCAGGTAGGAATTTTTCCTTGTGGAAATTTATAACTTGTTTACAGATCACTCCTAGTGTACAAAGGTAAACCATAGGTAGGTACACAAACTTAAAAGATGATGTGGAAAAATGCAATGGATATGGCAAGTAGTGACAGTAGAAGACCTTGAATGACAGTGTATAAATATAGTAACTGTATAACTTAATTCATCAAAGAAAATTGCATTCCTGATGGTTATTATGTGGAAGCCATTTTGAAGCTTTCACTGCAGTTGGTTCTGTGAGTTTGTTTTGTTTTTGATGATGTTTTTTGGGTTGCCTAAAAAATCAAAAATGCATCTTCTGACGTTTATATTACCATTATATTCAGCCTGGTACTTCCTTAGCTCAATTATAATAATTTAGCATTACTTTTCCTTTAGGTCATTTTTATCGTCCAGAAGGACAAAAGGATTATCTGCTTTGTGGCAATAGCTCAGATGCAGGGTAAGATATGCTAAAAACTACATACTACCCTTTAATGTAAACAGCAATATACATAATACCACTGTAAGCTTAAAAAGCTAGTTTAATGACCTAATTAACTAATCAAAGATGTATGATTGTGGTTCATAGCTAAGCACTCGAATGAGTAGAAATATTAAACGAGAAAAATATTTTGCTCTGAATTCATTTTTAAAGCTCTGATGTAACTAGAAAAATTATTTCAACAGGTGCATATTGCATTATCAATTACTTTAGAACATACTTCTATATTAATGACTTCATGTCATTTTACATCCCTAAAATATGCACTCGGACTTAAAGCAGAGTTTTGGGAGGACCTCTTTTGTATTTTTGTTGGTGGACTTCATACACAGGACTGCCTTGGTCTCTCTTTGTGGCAATTATTTGTAACAATTACGTATTTCTAGTTTGTTATAATATGTCAGTTCATCTGTTTTTTTTATAATTATGTCTTTAAAACAGATATACTTAATCTTTCTTTGTAGACATTTTACATATGTCTATAAGTCATTAGATAATTTTATACTATATGTGTGTGTAAATATGTATATCATATTTACACATATATGTATATTATATTTACACATGTATGTGTAGATATGGAAAAAAAATCTTTGTCTTTTCAGGAATAGAATCATGACAGAGGTGGTGTACCTACTGTAGACAAGTTTATGATCATCTAATATCAAAACAGTTTCAGAAATTTGAAGTATCACTGTGGCAGTTAAAGTGGAATAAGTTTCATTTTGTATATAAAAATGGAAGAAATTTTGAAGTTTTCAGTTATTTGTTTGCTCCTTGCTGGCTTTAAAATAAAAACACTGTTTACTACTTCAATAGCTTTTAAATTGTAAGCAACAGATAGCAGAGGCCCACTTCCCAGATTAGATCTAATGAATCTTATTTAGAACGTCAACGTACAATAATTTTTTTAAAAAATTAATATGTTCTTTTATAAGCATTGTTGTTTGTTTGTTTGTTTTTTTCCCTTTTCCTAGTAAATGTCCAGAAGAGTTTATCTGTGTGAAAGCAGGTAGAAACCCCAACTATGGTTATACTAGCTTTGACACATTCAGCTGGGCTTTCTTGTCCCTCTTTCGACTTATGACACAGGACTACTGGGAAAATCTTTATCAGCTGGTGAGTAAATAGTAGAAATTATTTAGTGTCTGACTGTCCCTAAAACAAACATGGAAAGGACCCTTGTTTATGTCATATATCACAGCTATAAACAGCAGCTGAAAAAGTGCAGCATTTAGAAACAAATTCAGTTGCAGAATTAAGCAGTTACGGGCACTTAGTACAAAATTTGTACATGATTTCTGCGTTCTGAGTAGGTACACAAGGGTTTTTTGTTCATCGCCTTCAGTTTTTACAATGTATGTTCTCTGACAGCCAAATGCAAATGAATCTTATTTTGTGCACCTTTAATCCTGTTTTTGGTTACTTAAAGTGCATCTTTGTATAAGCTAAATTTCTTACCACAGTTTTCCATTACATAGCATGTAAAAATTTGTTAATTGTAGTAAGCGTTATCTTTAAAATTATTTATTCATTTGTGCCATCTTTAACTCTTTTTATTTCCAGCAGACGGCATGCTAATATGCTGCAAGTATACTAAGCATCCAATCTTTGATGTGTGATTTACATTAATTATACCAATCACACTTCTTTCTCAAGACTATTAGGCTTTAAAGTAGGTTTGCCACAAAGCAACATGATCCTCAATTTTTTTCATATATATTAAAGCTTCTTTTATTTTCATTGCTTTGCAATTCAGATAATTTTGTATAATCCTACAGACAGAAGAACAACTGAATTTTAGTTTTGCACTTTTCAGACTTAGTCAGTGTTTCTGAATTGTGGAATTGATGCTTGTCTTCACCAAGAATTATTTCTCTTCTTCTCTTCTAGACATTACGAGCTGTTGGCAAAACATACATGATATTTTTCGTTCTGGTCATTTTTCTGGGTTCCTTCTATTTGATTAACTTGATTTTGGCTGTGGTTGCCATGGCCTATGAAGAACAAAATCAAGCAACTATGGTTGAAGCAGAACAGAGGGAGGCAGACTTGCAGCAGATGCTTGAACAGCTAAAGAGGCAGCAAGAAGAAGCTCAGGTATTTTTTAAAAGAGAAATACCTGCCTTTTTTTTTTTTTTTCCAAATACAAATCTATTTAGGCTTTTGTCACACATTTACAAATCATCGTACAAACTTCAGAAATAAGCACTATGGCATTCTTGAAAGATTTTGTAATTTTAAAGCATCTGATAGTTCAAATACCTTTTTAATGTTACATTAAAATGTTTACTTTGACAGGCAATAGCAGCAGCTGCAGCGGAGATGACAGAGTTTGGTGGTGAAAGTGGACCTTCAGACAGTTCTTCCGAAGCATCCAAGCTTAGCTCAAAAAGTGCCAAAGAAAGGAGAAATAGAAGGAAGAAAAGAAGGCAGAAGGAGCATTCTGGAGAAGAGGATAACATGAAAGATACAAAGCTTTCAAAATCTGAGTCAGATGGCAGTATCAGAAGGAAAGGTTTCAGATTTTCTTTTGATGGCAACAAACTTGCTTATGGGACCCGGCTCACATCACCCCACCAGGTGCTGTGAATAGTTCAGTTTTATTGTTTGGATTTGTGAGATAACTGTAATATTAAGAAAACTTCACTGTAACCTTGCAAAGTAATACAGCATAGGAAAAGAATTTGCATTACTTTAAGTACTAACTGCATCTAGCAAGTGTCATTTTACTGTTAAGGATCTGGTGGTTCTCAGTAGGATGCACAGCAGTATAGCATTTTCATAGTTCATTTGAAATAGAAATTCATTTTTAATTCATAAAAGGAATGTTTAAGTGTAATATATCAGTGTAGAAGCTATGGATATGAAGCACTTGATATCTTTTAACATAATACATGATCTACATGGATCATTAGAATGCCTAAAATCTTTATTTCCTCTCTAATACAGAAATAGAAATTGCTGTGGCCTCATGCGTATTCACCTTCTGTTCTCCAAAGAATTGTTTTAAGTGTACTGTAAATTTACCTATTCATTTCTCATGCCTGCGTCAGAAGTGTACCTATGGTACTGTATTAAGAATAAAGATGGAAAATTCCTGGGGAATATAAATTAATATTATGAATAGATATCCATACTGTGTATTTTAAATCCTCAGTCAGTGTATTTGTTTGTTTCCTTTACAGTCTCTACTAAGCATTCGTGGCTCCCTGTTTTCTCCCAGACGTAGTAGCAGAACAAGTCTTTTCAGTTTTAGAGATCATGGAAAAGAGATAGGATCTGAAAATGACTTTGCTGATGATGAACACAGCACATTTGATGATAACGGAAGCAGAAGAGGTTCTCTTTTTGTACCACTGAGACACAGTGAACGACGTGGTAGTAACATTAGTCAGGCCAGCAGATCGTCAAGAAGGCTGACGATGTTTCCAGTGAATGGGAAGATGCATAGCACTGTGGATTGCAATGGAGTGGTTTCTTTAGTGGATAGACCTCCATATCTCTTGTCGCCTACAGGGCAGCTTCTGCCAGAAGTGGTAATAGACAAACCAACAACTGATGACAATGTAAGGAAATTTTTTTGTACACCAGATTTTGTGATATTTCCTCATTGCACCAGAGAATGTTGTGTTGAAGTGGAATGCTTTGGGAGTGATTGAGAGATTCTGAATGCCTTTGTACATCTTACTGTAATGAAAATGGTGCTTAAAGTGATTCACTCAAAAGTAAGAGGCATGAAAATGAAAGAGAACAAAATAACATTTTTATATACCTGCATAGCAAGTAAGGGCATGCATTCCTATACTGAATAAAAATAATGTTACGCTGCTGAATCTGTTTCAGAATCCAGAATTAGGGTAGTCAACATTCTAAACTCTGCATATTCTTCATATGTTATTTAGATTTTTTTCTTTGTAGTTTTGGCCACCATTTAAATATATTTCTTAATTCTCTGCCAGTAATCTGCTAGCTTTTACTTTTTTTTTCCACACCATATATTATGGAAATGTAGCATAGCCTTTTGGATTATGTTGTCAATTCAGAAATACATTTTTCTGAGTCTCAGAGATTATCTGAGTTTTTCACTGCCTATGATCAGGCTCTAATTAAATAATATTACGTGCGAATTCATCACTTTTCTCCCTCTTTTCAGTCTTCTGTTTTGTCTGTGTCTGCTTATATGAATGGAGCAGATGGTTTGGTCCTGGAAACAAAGAAGTTTTACCTGAGTCCCAGCATCTGAATATACGCCAGCCAGATTACTTAAAGTTATAGCCTTCTTGAACTCTCTTATACTTGCATTTTCATACATTTATTTAATGTATGAATAGGTCCATCCATGCTCGCACATCCTTTTAATTGAGATGTATTAAATGATAGAATTCAGATTTGTAATTTCAGTTTTATATGACAAAATTTATGTGTATATATCCATTTGGAGGGTCACATAGGTCAGTCTTCTTTGATTTCTTATGTTGAAATTCATAAATCAATCAGATTATAGCTGTTTAATGTATAAATATATTTAGTTTTTAAGAATAAGATCCAGGCTGATCCGTAGAAGTTACTTCTAGAGAATAATTGTTATTGCAGAAATTTCCTTACATAAATCACTTCTTATAAGTATCTTGTGATCAAACTGGTTTGGAATTGAAGTATTGATAAAGAAAGCATGAAACTGGGAGCTCTGATATTTTTTTTCTGGTTCCCATGCTGTAACAGGTTTGATTTGTTTCTTTGGCGATGATCTCCAAAAATTTACTTGTGTCTAGTATGAAGTTAATGGCAATTAATTATAATACAATAATGGTTTGGAAATCAAATACAAAAACTGCTTTTTAGTACTTTATAAGTAACTTAACAGTATTCAGAAATATAATATGAAAATACCCACTTAAAAAGCAAACACCAGGTTTATATTACAGTGGAAAAAATTCTAATGTAATTGCACAAACAGGAAGTTGCATATATTTAGAGAGTCTTTCTGATACATATTATTTCAGCATTTCTAAAGGTGAATTTAGTTTATCCTCCTCCTCTACCTAATTTTGTTTGTTTGTTTCATAGAGTACTACTACAGAAATGGAAACAAAAAAGAGACGGTCAAGCTCGTATCAAATACCGATGGATTTGCTGGAGGATCCCAATCTAAGACAAAGAGCCATGAGTATAGCTGGCATCATCACAAATACAATGGAAGGTGTGTTATAACTGCAGATAAATGAATTCTCTTGACATAGTCGTAGGTATGCATGTATTGTATCACTTGCAAGTACAGGAGGCAAAAAATAAATAGTCCTTGAAAATAATTGATAGGAGTACATACTTAAAGAAGTGAAGGAATCTGATAAGTAGACTAAGCTAAAAACATAATATAACAGATAAAATGTTCTAGTATGTGTACTAGTTCACACAAGAAGAAACTTGTTTATTTTGAGGGTGACAGACAACTGGAACAGGCTGAAAAGAGAGGTGGTGGAGTCTCCTTCTCTGGAGATACTTAAAACCCACCAGGACGCTTTCATGTGCAACCTACTCTAGGAAAATTGCTTTGTGGAGGAGGTTAGATGAGATGATCTCCAGAAATCCCTTCCAACTCTTACAATTCTGTGATTAATATTTAGCAATAGAGTTACTGAAAGAAGATAATATTAAAATAAGGATTAGGCCTTAGTTAAAAGATTTTTTTTTTTTTGTAGGATTACTTGAAAGTGACATTATTACTAACAATACTCTTGAAAAAGCTTGATAAGTTTTCAAAAACTGAAATTAATATTATTTTCCTTGAAAATAATTAAACTGATGTTTGTGATGATTGTGAAGTTGAAATTTTACTGAGTAAAGTATCTCTAAATATAATGATAAATTTTGAAACCAAAGTTGTTATAAGACAACTTTTTCAATTTTTAGCTAAAAGTTCTTAAATGTTTTTCTTCTAATTTTATAATACCTTATCAGTCTGCAACTATATGTAAGTTGAATATTCCTCCAAACATCATTAGTGATTCCTGGAATAAATACATAAAAAAGCAATTAAAACAAAAAATACATTATTCACAAATTGTTTGCTCTGCTTTCTTTTTCTTTTTTCTTTTTTTCTTTGTTTTTTCTCTCCAGAACTTGAAGAATCCAGACAAAAATGCCCACCTTGCTGGTATAAGTTTGCCCACACATACTTAATTTGGAATTGTTGTGAGTTTTGGTTAAAAGTGAAGAGTGTAGTTTCATTTATTGTAATGGACCCACTTGTTGATCTGGCTATCACTATTTGCATAATTTTAAACACCCTGTTTATGGCCTTGGAGCATTATCCAATGACGGAGACTTTTAACAATACACTTAAAGTAGGAAATCAGGTAAGTCCATCAAACTATATTATTTGATGCAATCTGAACATACAATCAAATAAAAATGAATTCTATTTAAAGGAGAAAGTATTATTATCATCATGTCACAAAAAAAAAAAAAAAAAGAAAAAAAAACATGTTTAAGGTGTAATTGCACTAAATGTAGTCTAAAAATAATACTTGAGGTAATTGCACTAAAAAGTATAGTTTCCATACTGACATTCCTGCAAATATTTTTCATTGATCAGATTTTGGATGATAGAAAAGAAGAAATCTGAAATCTGGTTTGATTTTATTACAAGAAATATAGGTGCTAAATTAGATCCTTTCTACTGTAAGCATCATTAATGAGAGGGTTGCTCCAAAAATAATGCCTTCACTCTTTATTATGTTGGCCCACAACATCAGTAGCAGACATCGGTGATAGGGTTATAAAGGTTGAATCTTTCCACCATTATTTTGTTACATTTTGTTGCTTGTGACATGTGGCAGCAAAGGGGCAGTCTGACATGGGAGTATGAAACAAAGGTGTGTAACTGACTTCCCCCATGTGAAAAAATTGCACCCATTGCCATTCATCAGTGTTTTCTGAATGTTTGTGGAGACCAGCCAGTGGATGTGAGCACAGTGAGACAGTGGGTGGTGCATTTCAGCAGTGATGACAGTGATGTGAAAGATAAGCCATGTTCTGGATGGCCGTGCACACACAGGTGAAGAGCATCTTGAGCAGCTCATCTATAGAAATCTACAGATTATGATCAGAGAGCCGTACGGACCTGAATATCAGCTTCAAAATGTTAGAAACATGGTGGCAACATTAGAATGCTGCAAAGTTTGTGCCAGCTGGGCCCAACAAATACTCACAGAAGCAAAAAGTGTATTGTTGTCACAGTGACAAGATGTGGTGTCACCACTATCAGCCAGTCAAAACAGTAGTCAACAGTATGCCTATGTATGGATTCCCCACTGAATGAAAAGTTCAAGATGCACTTTGCCCTCAGCATGGAAAGTGATCTCCACTGTCTTGAGATAGGAATGGGATGATCCTTCTGGATTTCCTCGAAACTGGAGAAGCCATTAACCCTGATTGCTGCACTGCAGTACTGACCAAGCTGAATGTTTGTACTTCCAGAGAAGAAGAAAGCCTTCCTCTTGCAACACACTAATGCCAGACCCCATTTTGAAGACACTGGAGCACATTGCCAATCTTGTCTGAACTATCCTACCACACACATTATATATTCCAGATGCAGTGCATTTTTAGCTTGCATCTTCTCGAGCTGAAGAAACATGGACTGCATGGGCAACATTTTCCTAGCAACAACACTATCATAGCAGCTCTGTAACAGTGGATCTGCTGGTGCAGTTTTTTGCTAGTGTGGCATGCAGTCTCTTGTTCATTGCTGGAGAAAATTCATAGGTAATGGTGGTGACTATGTTTAAAAATACTATTTTGTATCTGAGAATTTGCTCTATCAACTAGTGTTACTGTGCTCTTTATATCTCTTGTAGTTTTCATGGAAACAGATAGGAGGCATTACTTTTGGAGGAATCTATGTAAGACCAGAAGTGTTGGATGTTACTTTACGTTACTATTTTGCACTGGTATTTTTTGTATCATCTTTGTATTTAAGAATGTTGCTTTGACTGATCCATAACAATTGGAATACAAAGAACTTGTGTTTTATATTGAGTGTATGTAAATACAGATGGTTTTGCTCCCCACAAAACAGGTCTGTAGGGGGCTGCGGTTGTTTTCTTATTTTTATAATGGAAATACTACAGGTCATCTGCTGTACTTCTCACCTATGCTTATTATAAGTGTTATTATTACGGTGTAGCAAAATCATAATTCTAGTACATTCTATTTGAGAATATATTCAGCTTTGTTTACAAAGTTGTTAATATGTCAGCACTTACTTGAATAGTATCCAGGTACTTTTAGCCAATATAGATGTTGTTCATTTGTACTTGTATAGTGTCAGCAGTTGATTTTTTGCTTTTTGAACTGTTTTAAAAGACTGTTGAATATTCTTGATTTTTTAAATATAATTTATCTTCCCAGTAAAACATGATTGATGTTGTTCTATAGATGCAGGTGGGCATACATTTACAGTAAATACAATGGATTTCTTCTCTTTTCAGAAGCATTGTATGCTTCCTCTGTACCCTGTCAGAAGCAGAAAAGTTTAACTTCAAACGTGAGCCTTGACAAAATTGGCCTTTTTTGCAATTCACAAAGAGGAGACATGCAGAATGTCACTGTGAATTCTGAAGAACTGATTTAATAGTATATCACTCTCTGCTTTGTGATCATTTCATATATTTTCTACAATTTAGTTAAAGCAGCTTCCATTCTGGCAAGATAATCTATCTTGCTGGGAAATATTCCTTTATTTAGACGTAGAACAGATGGGGAGCATACAGGAGGTGCATTAGAGATGGTTTATCTTCACAAGATACTAAATGCATCTCAGGCTTAACTGAAAGTTAATTGAATTGCACTGCAGCTCATTTTGATTTTGACACTTTTCTTCTCTGTGATAATTTTCCTTACTGACGTTCTGCTGTAAGAAAGTTGTCATTTTTAAGCTGTTCTTTGTCTTCTGGTTCAGCTAATTTGTAATCATTTATAAATTAGTAATACACATTCTTCTTTTAGGTTTTTACTGGAATTTTTGCAGCAGAAATGGTTCTCAAGATAATTGCCATGGATCCTTTTTATTATTTCCAAGTTGGCTGGAATATTTTCGATAGTTTTATAGTTACCCTTAGTTTGGTGGAGCTTTTCCTGGCAAATGTGGATGGATTATCTGTTTTACGATCGTTCAGATTGGTAAATAAATTAATGATTAAATGATATCTGCTAGTGCATGTGTAGTAAATTTTAATTGTACGTATGCAAATAGAATTGTAGCATTTGTACGCTAATATATTAGTAATATTACATTAATACTGTTTTTTTTCTGAAGTGTCACAGGATCTCAGCAAACAGGTTTTACAAAATTATTTACCATTGAATAGCATATGCCATTTTATGGTTCAGAAGCAGCAGTGTTTTTCAAGGAAAAGAGGCGTAATATTACTGTAATTGTATTAATGTGGATGGGCAACAGTACAGTGTGCATATAATTTACTGTATATTGAGAGAGAATGTAAATAAACATTTGTAGTCTTGTTTGATGCCACATCTGAAAGTTACCAAAAAAGTAACTTTTCATTTAAAATGTAGGATTTATAAATTTCATAAATTACTTAATCTTTGAAGGATCAATCTTTTCCCCCTTCAGAAAAATGAATGCTTTATTATAATATTTTTCTATAGTATTTTTGTAACTACTTCAAATAATGTCTCTATTTTCATTTTTCAGCTTCGAGTTTTTAAACTGGCAAAATCTTGGCCAACTCTAAATATGCTGATTAAGATTATTGGCAACTCCGTGGGGGCTTTGGGCAATTTGACCCTGGTGCTGGCCATCATTGTGTTCATTTTTGCTGTGGTTGGGATGCAGCTGTTTGGGAAATACTACAAGGAATGTGTCTGCAAGATCTCTAGCGACTGCGAACTTCCACGCTGGCACATGCATGACTTTTTCCACTCTTTCTTGATTGTATTCCGAGTGCTGTGTGGAGAATGGATAGAAACGATGTGGGACTGCATGGAGGTTGCAGGGCAGCCTATGTGCCTCACTGTCTTCATGATGGTCATGGTGATTGGAAACCTAGTGGTATGTAGCCAAAATAAATCAAGAATTCATGTAGAGAAAGAATGATAATGAAACAAGTAATGAAACAGTTTTGTAGCATTAAATGTGTTATTTAAGCATGGTTTTTTTTACGATTTTGAGTGCTGAGAATATGGATCTGCATGTTATATTTCTGATCCTAAGTAAAATCCTCAAAATGGAGGATGGATCTCTCAGAGTAAAATTCAGGGGATATGAGTGAGAAGGAGAAGCATCAAGTGTTCAGGGCTTTGTGGACTAATCTGGTTACTTAGAGCAGCTTAGGCACCACAAATATTCACCTTGGATAGGAGTTTGCTATTGGCAGAAGCAGACAGGAGGGCATTTTCTTCCTAACCGGTGGAGGCATCACTTGAAATTACACATAGCCAGTTGTTTTCTTTTTCTTTTTTTTTTTTTTTTTTCTCCCCTGCTCTTTCCTGTCCAAAAGACTGCTTTAAAATTCTTTTACATTGAAGTTTAATCTATTTTGAACCCTGTTTGCTTCTGACTTTTTACACAGTGGGGAAAAGGAGATTTGAGTAGGAAGGCAGTAGTATTTCTTAAAAAAATAAATTCAAATACTTCACATTTTCTTTCACCTCTATTAATTTTTTGCTTCCCAATTCTTAAGTGCTTTTTACAAACATTTTAAAATCAGTACCTTCTTTCTCTCTGAAAGAGGAAAGCATCAGATCAGTTTGTACATTGCCATGTATAAATTTGTCTTTTAAAACATGATTTATATTTATTAAATCACTAGTGTTTGAAACCTTAACCACTCAGCCTTCTACTCTGCTTTTCTCACTGCCCACTGAGTCTTCCTATGAAATTCTACATCTTTTCTTTAGGTAATTGACAGCAGCAAAAGAGGTTTCAAATTAGCCATCTTGATTTCATTCGTTAGCAGTAAAATTTCTAATAGGAATAAGCTAAATAGTTTCAAATCAGTCATGCTACTCGTGGAACAGCCACTTACTCCAGGATTATCTGCAAATCTATTGTCTTATAATGGAGAGAATGGGGGAATGAGTTGTCAAGCAACATATCCTCCTCAAATAGTTTTCTATGCTATAGTTTCTTCTATACTAGAAGAGAGAACTTTGTGTAATGAAGTATCCATCTCTATAATTTTTTCACAGCATTCACTGCATTTTGATTTTATACCACAGCTCTAGCAGAATTTCTTCTAGAGATTGTGAATAGACAATCTCTACTGTTTATTTGGCGATCTGTTATGCAGTTGTCTTCCTGTATTCCCAACAACATAGTTTTACTCTGTCTTCAGAGCTGCCTAGAAGATCTTGGTCTGAAGACCTTAAGAGCTGCTACTCTACAGGTTAATTGGATACTGCTCTAATACCTTTTGAGTCTTGGTGAGCCTTGGACTTACATAACTGAAATTTATTCTGTCTTGCAGTGGGAAGATGATGAAAGCTAAGAAAGAATTGAGGGAAGGGCTACTTTATTTGTCTTAAGTCACATATAGCAAAATATTTGTGTGGATTTGTACCAGCCTTTAAGAAAACCATTTCTGCACAGATCAACTGTGCATTGCTGCAGAGTGCTTCCCTATGCTAGAGAAGTAAATGTTTTGGATCAGTTCAGTCAGTGCCAAATACATTCATTTCTGACCTTAATACCCTTTCACAAACATAAGCAGAAGGAGAGCTTAGAAATTTTTGTAGTTTGTATTTCTATATGACTATTGTCAAAAAGAAACTGCATTGCGTGTCGGGCAGGTGTTGTGCTTACATTATATTTACATTTTATTTACTGTTTAACTTCCAGAATCACATAGTGGAGAACATGAAATCTAAGTTATTTATAGTAGGTGATAGAAGAAACATATGAATTAAATTTAAAAAAACCACAGGTGTATTTTCTTTGTTTTCAGGTATTGAACCTTTTTCTGGCTTTGCTGCTGAGTTCATTTAGTTCAGACAGCCTTTCTCCTACCGAGGATGATAATGAAATGAATAATTTACAGATAGCTGTTGCAAGAATTCAGAAGGGAATAGATTATGTGAAGGAAAAAGTAGGTGAATATATTCAGAAATCTTGCTGGAGGAAACAAGTGGCTGCAAATGAAAGAACAGCAACAGATCAATTGAATGATGAAAGACACCATTGCATTTCCAACTGTACCATTGCTGAAATAAAGATAGATACAACTTACCACAAAAATGAGAATGGAACAGCCAGTGTTGTAGGAAACAGTGACTATCCATTGTTCATAAACAACCCAAGCCTTACTGTTACAGTACCGATAGCTGTTGGAGAATCTGACTTTGAACATCTGAATACAGAAGAGTTTAGTAGTGACTCAGATTTGGAGGAAAGCAAGGAGGTAAGATTTAAATGACTTTCATTTTGTATGAATGAGTTTTGTGATCTTCTGTCATAAAACACTTGTTTTTTCTTATGGTAGTACTTCCTTGTTACAAATAGAAAATGATTACAATTTCAGATTGCTGGACTGGACTGAGAAGGAGTTGTGAATTGAGAAATGTGGAGCTAAAGACAAAATTATTTGAAGACATATGAAACCATAATAAAAGAGTTTTGAAAAGTAGTCTTTTCCAAAATTTTCAGGTGGATAGACAAATTAATATTGAACTTCATTGTTATTATATCGAATAATATTTTTAATGTAAGAATAAATGTTAAATATTATATAATAAGAATAAAAGGACAAAAGACATTGGTTTAGAATATGAGCATAATGTTTCCATGAAGTAAGGATGAAAGTAAACTGCTGTTAAAAAAAATAATTAACAGACATCTTTAAAAAGAAAAGAAAAGAATATTAATGCTATTTGCATCTGATTTCTAAAGCCCGCTGAATTCAGCTTTGTACAGGGTAAGCTAAGAAGGTACTAACTCAAGCTAATTATAGCAGTAACAGTTTTCCAGTTCTAAATTTACATTATGGGGAAAAGCCAGGAGAACAATGGTAGTATTATAAGGTGAAAATGATGTATTAAAAGGAAGAGGAACAAATACAACTACTAATGAAAATATTTAATTTTTGTTGGTGGGAATTTTGCAGCAGCAACTTCAAAGACATCTGCTTTACCTTAAACTGGGGCAGCTTTAGGGCTGTCGCTGCTGATGCAGACATCCCTACTCCAGTCTAGATTGCTGTGTCTGGATTGTTTTGTTTTTGAAGTTTTGGGTGTTTTTATTTTTTTCTTGGTTTGTGTGTTTGTTTTAAGTTGGCATTGAATTTGCCCTTATTCGTTCCAACTCATTTTAGAAATGAGTTTGTTGCAGCGAAGTCTAATTAAATTTAATTTAAAAGGTGTAATAAAGTGACTCTTAAGGTGTTTCTTTTGTTGTAGAACAATGAGTAACTTTATTGCATTTGTCAGGAAAAAAGCTATTGAAATAGTGAACGCCTGATTTTGTCCACCTGCTTTTTGGAGATTCTGTTTCTCTATGTGCTATGTTGACCTCTCAGCTGAGAAGACCTTAAGTTAACAAGAGACCTCTTAAAAACGAACATATATTCATAACTTGTTTTATGGTATTAATTTTGCATTGTAGGGAAGCTATAATGTCTGTGAAACAGCTGCTACATCTTCTACTTACAGTTAATCAAAATGAAGGATGCTGGCCTTTGTATGTTTCAGTATATCCTGGTTTTGGGGAAGGAATGTCTGATGAATTGAGGAGTTCTTCTTCTGCTCTGACAACTGTTAAATCTACATCTTATATGTAAATTATGCATAAGCTGAAGGCACCCGGATCTTAACTGTTCTGTATTTAAGAACTGATTAACAAAGTCTATTGCAGTTCATAACGCACCATAAATCCTTAGACTATTGATGATATTATTTACCTAGAAGTTCTCATGTTTGACTGAATAGAATTGAATTCTGTTTTGTTTTCTTTTGTCACATGGCGTCTTTTTGAAAGTATATCCTAGATGCACATTTAGCATGTAGTAAAGATTAGAAATAGCTTTTCTTTACATTTCAGGCCAAAGTTCAACCTATGAGCCACAGCTATTCTGCTAATTTTATCTTTTTCAGTATGCCCTTGGACATTCCTGAAGCTCTAAGCAACAGTAATAAATGTTATGTTTTGAAAACGTGTTATATGTCTGGAAAGCACATGTTTAAATGAGTATCAATCCATACTTCTACTGTTTCCAGAACTCAAACAACCCAAAGGGTACTATGTTTTAACTTCATTGCGTACCATTTTTCTCACAGGAGTAAAATCAAGCTGGATCAGTCAAGAATGCAGCTCTGGTGCTTTTTAACCAGGCAGAGCAACGTGTCAGCACGTTTACACAGGTTATCTAAAAGAATCATACATATATACGATCACTTTTGAGATTGACTGGCCTGCATGCTACTCAGTTGCAATATATTTTTCCCCATCCATTGCAATGTAGTGGAAACATGCACAGCCACTGAGTCCCATGACTCGCATCACAGCATGGTTGGGGGGAGCCCCAACATGTTCCTCTGTCCTCGTTACATCTTTGGTATTTTCTGTAATACTTCTGTTGCATAAGCTGCATGCTTTGTAGGCTTTAATTATTGTTAACTGAATTGTTGTCAAGACTATTCAGGGTCTAAAATGATTAGCAGCCTGTGGGTTTAAGAAAATGGAAAGATAATCTTCATTTGTGATTTTGTTGTAGTATCCCATGTTCTCTCTCGTGTATTCTTTTGTGCTGTATTATAAATTAGAAGTATTTCAGGTCTCACTTTTGTGCCTTGGGCTTGCAAGCTGTTCAGAGAGATGGAATGGGAAAATATATTCCTAACAGTTTTTCTAGCCATTTTAGAAAGGCTGCTTAAATGGGAAAGGAGAAACCATTAGTGTGGCATTCTACTGGTGCTACATATGGAGTGATGATTCAGATTGGATGGATATTGTTTATGTGACCCTGCTCTGGTTTCAAGCTCCTTCTGCCATGAATTTGGACAGGCGTAGAACAGCATGTGAAATAGCAAACCAAGGACTTAGGCTATTTTAATTGAAAATTCCTGAATTTTTATTTGAAGCTCATGTCACCTTATTATTACTTTATGTTAGCAATACTTTGATTCTTATTTGTTATTTTTTTTTTCTCCTGTTTTTTTTTTTTTTTTTAAAAAGGCATGCACATTGATTTAATTTTTCCTCAAGTTATAAATGTGGAGAGTATATTGGTATTCTAAAGAAAAAAAAGTTCACATTGAGAAAACTCTCAGTGTAGTAATTTTTGGGCCTTACTTAGAAATGTTTATTTTTATTCTGTATAAATAAAAAGACCCCTTCAAAAGGGTTTTTACTGGTTGTAATTATGTTAAATTTACATACTGAGGGAACAGTCAGGCTAGATGGAATAATGAGGTATTCTCTGCTGAAAATAGAATGGGTTAAGCAAGGAAATACACCATTTGTGGAGTGAAGGTGGTGTAACAGGTTTCTAAGAGTTTCTGTTGCATTTTTACATAGTAATATTTATTACACACAGAAATACAGAATGGCCTGAGTTGGAAGGGACCTCCAGGATCATGAATCTCCAACCCCCCTGCCGTGGGCAGGGCCACCAACTTCCTCATTTAATATGTGACCAGGTTGCCCAGGGCCTCATCCAATCCTCTTGAGAGGGCTGTTACCAACAATTGTCTTTTACTTTTAACTAGTAGAATTTGTGAACTTTTTGCTCATTCTTTTGTCTTCCTTCTTTTAAGCAACACTAGTAATTTATTTTCTCATTTCTCTCTTTTAGGCTCTTATTTGTTTTTTCATTTATATGTTACAGGTTTTTTTCTCCTTTTATTTCTGTCATTAACAGCTGTGTTAATGGTACATTTGCTCTTTGCTTTAACATTAGAGAACTATATTGGATTTTCTCTTACTATCTGAATATTAAAAATTGAACTGTTTATAAGTTGATGTGCAGTAGGTTGCACCATGTGAATGATCAGTGAGCTAATTATTATTTGGTCTCGTGGAGTTTTTTTGTAAATTCATCATCTGCAATTTTCCATGCTTTCATTTGTTATATTTTAGATGATGCTCACTACAAATTTATGCTTTATTAATTACCTCAAGCAATCAAAAGTGGCTTCAGCGGGATAATGTAATGCAAATATTATTGTATTTGTGCCATTATACCTTCAGTTCCCTAAAAGAAAGGAAGAAAAATACTGAGTTCCAGATTTTGACCTTATACCACTACAGTAGGTTTTTTTATTTGGAAGTAAATGTATTCAAAATCTGAGTAACTTTTCACTGCCAACAGTAATAGTTCCATCTTAAAAAGAAAAAAAAAAAAAAAAGTATTAATGAGGGAAATATTATATTAATGAGCAAAAATGTTTTAGCTTCTGATTTGCAAGCCTAATCACCTAACCAACTTTTGAGTACATTGTTAATCCATTCAATCCAGTGTTTAGTGTATAACCAGTGAGGCCCTCTTAGCTTAGTTTGGTGTACTCTGAACAGCAGCTAAATGTTCTCAAAGATGAAGTACAAACTATCTCTCCTAAGACTCCTCCCACTGGAGTAGTTCACAAAATCTGTTAGATCTATGCAAATTGTGCATAGCAAAGAAACTAACCATGTCAAATTTAGTCAAAACAAGAAAGTTTTCTGTACATATTTCTTTTTTTTTTTTTACTGCCAGTTTTGGTGGTGTTGATATTGTTTGATATGAGTAAAAATGTTTGTATGTCACATAAAGAAGGCAGCTGGAGTTTGATTAAACCTGTTACTCTTCAAGGCCAGGATTATATCTTAGAAAAAGGAGTGAACCAGGCCAGCTATCTTTTATATTAGAATAGTTCATAGAGTTTTCGGTTTTTCCCTAGAGTCAAAAATATTTTTGTTTTAAGCTAAAAAATTAAAATACTCTGTAATTCTGATTATTCTACCATGTAATTAATGAAATACCAAACTTCTTGTTCTAACCACATTGCGCCAGAGGAGATTTAGATTAGACACAAGGAAAAACTTTTAAGGAGTGGTCAGGCACTGGAACGGCCTGCTCAGGGAGATGGTGGTGTTGCCCTCCCTGGTGGTATTTAAGAGGCGTCTGAATGAGGTGCTACGAGATGGTAGCTACTATGATTCAGTAGCTTAGTGGGTAGTAATGGTGATAGGAGGATGGTTGAACTAGATGATCTTGTAGGTTTTTTCCGACCTTGTGACTCTATGATTCTTTTCAGTTTCTTTTATTTTTACAGTTGTTCTTCCACTGCTGTTTGTAACACCTAAAAAATCTGTATTCTTTCACTTAAATTCATATAATCTGTTTAGAAGGATATATTAATTAGCTCACAGTTCAGATGTCCCAGAGCACTGAGTGTTTTTTGTAATTTCTACTAGCAGTATGACACAAAACTTCCTTGCTGTTTAAAAAGATATGAAGATGTAATTATTTTTGTGTTTTATAATTCAGTTCATAAATTCAGTTTTTTTCACCACTACTGCAGCATTTTGTAAAATATTAGCTATGTCATGGAATGATGAAAGCGGAATATTAATAAAATAATGCACTTATAATGCTCTTTTCAGATTCAGTAGGATTAGTGACTGGAAAAAGATTTGCTGTGAATATTTGTATTTTAAAATTAATGCTTCTAAAAATGAATAGAGATGTTTACATGAAATGTGAATAACTTTGGAGTTCTATTTCAGACAATTTTTAAAATAGCTGCAAAGTAGGAAATATTATCAAATTATTTTTAATAAAAGTTAATACAGAACACTGAATTAGTTTCTCTTATTAAATAGTCTCTACCTTCTTTCACAACCGTGTGTATATAAAAAGTAGACGTTTCCTTCATTAAAAGTTTTGTTCTCGCTCATTTTAAAAATGAGGTGTAAGTAGTTCAACTTGTCTGCTATTATATTTTAAATACCTATTAATTGTGTAAGTCTAGCAAATTCATGAAAATGATGTAAATTGTACAAAATTCAGGCTGTTTTACAAAATGTGCTTACATCATTCCCTACAGACATTTACTTTTGTTTCAGTGAATCTGTGTCTGACATTATGTACTTTTCATAATGAGATCATAAAATGTCAGAGAATGCCGTGACAAAAACTACTTAGACTTAGTTTGGTACTCATACCTAAATCAAACGTACAGGACACCACGTTCTTCATTTAAAATCTCCAGACTATAGACTGAGTGCAAGGTACATGGATATTACACAATAAAAAATAAAATTGAGCTCATGCTTTTATTAGCATTTGTTTTAGTACTATTGCAATTATTTAAAAATATATAACCTTTTCTTTCAAGGTGTTAACTGTACAGGTATGCGTACCAGAGTAACAGGTAGTTTCGGAATGCACAATGTAATACATATGTGCATTGACAAAAAAAAAAGACTGCATAAATGCATATTAATGCCAGTTGAAATGTATTGGTCATACTTTTTCCTATTCAGAACTTTTGAGTACATTTGGAAAACACATAAAAGTGTTCGTGTTGTAGTAATAGCTATATGTTAAGATAGGATATGCGTAATTCATTTTACAAATGTGTTAGGGAAATGTTCAAATTCATGTTCAAATTTGAAACAGGATTTTGTATTAATCTTGGATTTTACTTAAGCATTTTCCAATCTACATAACAATCATTAGGTTAAAACAGAAATAATGTAAATGTATTAATATTTATTAATCAACGATAACCACATTTTATTGTAAATTTGTCACATGCCAGAAGTAGTTAACTTGCACTATCAAGAACTTTGCTGTCAAGGTTGAGGAGACTGCTATGATGAAAGCAGTTACCAACATATATTATCTAAAGCATACAGTATAATTCATATTGATTTAAAATGTAGAGATATAGATAGAATATAGAATATAGAAAGAAAATAGTGGACCAAAAAAAAAAAAAAAAAAGAAATATGTATTTAAAAATCTGCTTGTTTGTAGTTACTTTTGAGGAATTCTAACATTGTATTATAATTCCAGAATTTCTGGAATTCAGTGAAATACTGCATAATACTACTATCTGGTGGTAGAAAGGAGATGATTTATGCACATTTCAACAGCATTGACTGCTATATGTGGATGTTTGTGTGACAAGTGTTGTTCTTATTGTTACCGATACGGTGTGTTGCATGCTTAATATTAATTTCACTTCCAAAAATATAAATAATATTTAAATATAACTGCTACTATGGACTTTTATTTTCAGAAGATAAATCTTTCCAGCTCATCTGAAGGAAGTACAGTTAATTTGGCTCTGTTTGGAGAAGAAAAAGCTGAGACTGAACCAGAAAAAGCAGCAGAGCTACAGACATGTTTTACAGAAGGTATGAAAATGAAATTTGGAGTTAGCAATTGCATTTGAGTTGTTGAAAACAAGCATTTGCAGTTCAGGGATGCTTTTTTGCCAGTGCAGCTTCAGATCCTGATTTAAATCTTAGAATGTGATTAATTTTGCCTTTCATAGGGGCAAAAAAAGGGGAGCTACTGAAAAGAAGTGGACAGACTTTTAGCAGGATCTGTGGTGATAGAACAAGGAGAAATCATTTCAAACTTAAAGGGGGGAAACTTAAGGTTGGGTATAAGGAAAAGTATTTTACAATGAGGATGGTGAGAAATTGGAACAGGTTGCACAAAGGTATGATAGTTGCTCCATCTCTGAAGACTTTCAAGGCAAGGCTGGACCAGGCTCTGAGCAACTTGATCTAAATGTGCATGTCCCTGTTCATTGCAGGGGAGTTGGAGATGATGACATTTAAAGGTCCCTTCTAACTCTAAAGGATTCTATGATTCAAAAACTTATAATGGCTTGTTGTATTGTTAGGCTGTATACAGAAGTTTAAATGCTGTAGATGCAATATGGAAAGCAGAAGAGGAATAATCTGGTGGAACCTTAGAAAAACTTGCTACAGGATAGTAGAACACAACTGGTTTGAAACATTCATTGTCTTCATGATTCTTCTCAGCAGTGGTACTCTGGTAAGTAGAACATACACCCATAGAAATAGTGTCTATAAGGAATGTTTTATCAAAGATAAATATGTTCTAAACATATGTTAAAACATATTTATGTTCACTAAGGAAAAACTGAGAGTTGATTAAAAAGAGAGCTTGGAACTAAATTCCCAGAATATTTTCCCAGTGCATATAAAATCATTAAAATTCTGTTGTCAAATAATCTTCTGCATGTCAGTCATGATGAATACAAGATGATACATGTGTGAAAGGGTGCTTAGCAAGAAGATTACACTTAAAATCTTGTTGAGGAAATTAGAACAATAACTGGAACAGTTATTCAGCTAAATAATTAAATTTAGCTGAATAACTAAATCAAGCTAAAATTGTCTTCAAAAGCTGTACAAATACTGATTTGTTTTTGTTCTCTTATTTGTATTTATCTTGTATTTATTATCATCAGGAGACCACCTTCTCTTTGAGCCAAAGCGGGCTTATCAGAGTGACAGGTTGTAATTCCGTGTTGACTATTAATCAAATTTTTAAAAAACTTGTGTGGCAACTTTACTCATTATATTGTAATCTCATTATCAGGAGACAATAAAATCTAAAACTTATACACGTAGTCGCTGCTTATGCTGGCTTTTCAAGGTAAAAAACAAAAAGTTAAAAAAGCAAATTTTTTTTGCCTTTTTTTCATCAGTTCTTATGGCTTCTTAGTTTCCAAAGCCCTATTAATATCTGACTTACATGCAACCCGTTTTTTACAGGCTTTTGAAGATATATATATTGAACAGCGCAAGACTATCAAGGTCATACTGGACTATGCTGATAAAATCTTCACTTATATCTTTATTCTGGAAATGGTGCTAAAATGGGTGGCTTATGGTTTTCAAACTTACTTCACTAATGCCTGGTGCTGGCTGGACTTCCTGATTGTTGATGTAGGTACTATAGTCTCTGAGTAACCTATTCTGGTGTATAGCCTGGTCATTTCATGCAACTCCAATTTGATGTGTGAAAAATACAAATTGAGTTAAAAATAAGAGAATGATATAGTGAATGAGTTTCCATTGTAATTATGTAATAAGTAACTAAATACTACTTCATTTATATGTTATTGTTAACTCCATCTCTTTAGTTTCTGTCTTACTGTTTTGGGTCCCAGTCAGTGATTGAGGTGTATTATCTGAAAGGATTTCAGTCTTCTGTATTCAGTAACAGAGCAAGGAGGAAACAAACACAGAAGGGAGATGGAGCATGTAGGGTTGGAGTAGGACAGGTGATTCTGGGCTTAATGACTTACTGGTGAAGCACTGTGAAGATCAGAATGTCATGAAGATATTAAAAGAACGGGAGGGCAAAGAGGCAACAATTAAAGAGAAGGTTTGAGGAAAACAGAGAGTAATGATGGCCAAATGCATCACTTCAAAAAGTTGTGAATCGGCATTCCTCATTTGGAGTAGTACAGTACTAACTACTGTTTACTAGGTTACAAGGCTAATTTATTTTTGTTTAAATTATTTTGAATTTTACAGACAACTTTATATTCCCTTCCCCCTCCCCTCCCCTCCCCATCCCCCCCAATATCCAGATCAAATTTATCTTCCTTCTAGGCATTACATTTTTATTGTGAGGATACTTAAAAACAAACAAACAAAAAAACTGTTTTTTTCTTCTAGGTCTCGTTAGTTAGCTTAGTAGCTAATGCTCTCGGTTTCTCAGAACTTGGTGCAATTAAATCTCTCCGAACATTAAGGGCTTTGAGACCTCTAAGAGCTTTGTCACGCTTCGAAGGAATGAGGGTAAGAAAAAAAGAGACCAATGTGCAAAACAATTTCATAAAAATGTACCTAATAAACTATTAAATCACTGAGAAACACTGAACTGCATGTGCAGTAGCAAGGCAAGCACTAGTGTATGACTCTTATGTTTTTCCTTTTTTTTATATGCATTATTTCAATATATTTTGATGTTTTACTCTACATCTTTTATTTTGGGAAAAAAAGGCAACTCAACTTGATCACTGCTATTTAGGTATAAATGTAAGCATATAGTTTCTAAAGTTTTTTTCTATGTTTGTTCACTAGGTGGTTGTGAATGCTCTTACTGGAGCAATCCCATCCATAATGAATGTGCTTCTGGTTTGTCTTACATTCTGGCTAATTTTCAGTATCATGGGAGTAAATCTGTTTGCTGGCAAGTTCTTTCACTGTGTTAACACCACAACTGGACTTCAATTCAAACCAGAAGAAGTTGATAACAAAACTATGTGTGAAAATCGTAGGAGCACTGCATCAGATGTTCGATGGAAAAATGTGAAAGTAAACTTCGATAATGTTGGAGCTGGTTATCTTTCTCTGCTTCAAGTAGTAAGTGTATGAATTTTGATAAATTTTTCCAGCTTAAAGTTGTGTAGCAGTAGCATTTAATTCCATAATTTTCAGTGTTATTTTACAATATATACATAAGGTATTTTGTTCTATGAAGCTATTTAATATTGATTATGGTAACAATCTCATAGATTCTACAGATGTTTTGGAAGAAGACAAATATCTGATATCTTCCAAGTAAACATAAGGTTTCTTTGCATCCAGCTACTCATTTTCCAATTCTGTAGAAATAAAAAAATGTAAAAATGCAATCTCTCCTCCGCTCCCCTTCTCCAAAAAAAAAAAAACCAAAACAAAAAAAACTGGGATTTATTAAATTATTTGCTTGATCCATTAAGGTGTTAGGGCATGTTGATGCAGATTTTTAGCATTATACTCAGATACACTGTAGGGCTTATTCAAATAATAATAGTGGGTATCTCCATGTCAATTACACATTTCACTATTGATATGGAAATAAAGAGATGAAAGAAAAAGATTTTAAATTCATTTTTTCTTTTCTGTTCCTTTTCTTTCTGTTATTCCTGATAGTTGCATTCCAGCTGCAGCACATATAAATTGGAGGCAGTAGGACAGAAACTTGCATTCTTAATCAGGTTCACTTGACATACTGCTTCTGGGAAAACATTTGTGTTCATAAGCACTTGGCCATTATTCTGTCTTTCAAACTCTCCAGCTGGTAGTGGGTAGTTAGTGTTATGCAAGTAAGCTGGCAGCTCATTGCTCAAGGGAGAAGTAGTAGTTATTTCTAAATGGCACTAAGTAATTGCATAATTTAAGAAGATTTCTTGAGACTACATTCTGGACTTTCTTTTAGAATTACTTACATATTATGTCTGAAAATATCAACCAGTGGTGGCATTCTTCAGTTTCTGTTGTAAGAAATTTCTGAGAGCTGAGAACTTTGTTGTAAACTGCAGTCTTTCTTGAATGCTCAGATATTTCTTTCAACTCACTCCACATAGAATTTACATGAATTTTCATGAAGATTATAATTTGTTCAGCACTTATCTTAAGAAGGAATATTCCACAGTAAATTAATTTTTTGAATAGTTCATTTCTTACCACCATCCCTTAACGCTTACTGCTACTTTTTTGTACAAGTATATTGCAAAAAGGTTTTGTAGTTCAGACTGTTTAAAATATTTGATTTTTTTTCTTATTTGAAGCTTTGATGGAAACTGATAAACTTTGTTTTTAGGCGACATTTAAAGGATGGATGGAAATCATGTATGCTGCTGTTGACTCTAGGGATGTAAGTGCAATGTAAAATTTACCAATTTTAAGCAAATCAGATTGTTTCTTGAATAATAATTCAAATAAAGTAACATACTAAAAAAACAACATAAAATCTTGATTTTTTTCTTTATAGGTCTAAATTTAGACCTCTTAAATATATTATTAGTTATTATTATTAGTTAATTTCTACAGAAATTAAATGCATGTACTTTTAGTAGGTAAAATATACATGGAAGTACTAATACATATATAAATTGAGTAATGTATGTAATGTGAGTAATGTGAAATTTAGTTTTGTATGGATGTTTATAACTGAGGTTGTATAGAGTGGATTTTTCTTGTTCTCAAAAATAAAAAAAGCTACCTGCAGTTGCTAATTCAAAGACACACTCCCATCATCTGAAAAAATAAAATGGCAGAACTTTGCCTGATTTAATGCAGGTATTTGTTTGCATCTTTTGTCTCTCTAGCTCCTTTTTGTATAAAATCTACAGCAAGTGAATTACTTTTGAGGTTTGCATACTTCTTTCAAATTTAGTAAGCTATTTAATAAGCTATACATGATCTTAGAGATGAATTGCAAGTATTTGCATGCAATAAAAGATGTTGAATAAATTTAGATGATCAAAGATTGAACAAGTCTAAGGTGTTCTCCAAAAATAACTGTTTCACAACCCCCATTCTCCTTCTTTGTTGCTGTCTGGCTAAACACAGCTTCCATTTCTTCTTTTAGTATTCTATAATTTTTTTTTTTACTATTGTTGTTGATGTATTTATGTTTTTCTATGTTACATAGGTAGGGAAACAGCCCATGTATGAGGAAAACCTATACATGTATCTTTACTTTGTTGCCTTTATCATCTTTGGATCCTTTTTCACGCTAAACTTGTTCATTGGTGTCATCATAGATAACTTCAACCAACAAAAAAAGAAGATAAGTATCAACATGTTTCATTTTCCTCATACTTCATTGCCTTTAAGTGTTATGCATATCTATACAAATATCCTGGAACTATTGCTCAGTACTGGAAAATAAAGAGTGCTGGTTAACTGTCTTGAGTTGTTAATAAGTTTGCAAGAGAGAGAAAATTATTGATGTGTGAAAATGTATCTTGGTTGTTTTATTTGTTTTGTTTCGTGGGGGACACTTTTTCCCTCAGCTGAAATGGTTTCTTTTATTCAAATGAGCATTCAAAAATTTCACAGGATTAAAATAGATTAAAATGCATCCTATGATGGCAAGTTAAATTCTATTTGCTATCTAAACTCTGAATGTTTTCTATGGGTAGGCTTATTTTTCTGTATATGAATGGAGCAGAATTGTGCTGGGGTCTTGTTTACAAAAAAAAAAAAAAAAAGTGCCACTAAATAATCTAAATAATAGCAAAGTGGAACATAATTTCTTAGAATCAGAGAGTCATTTCATAGACTCACTTGCAATTTCAGGTGATTTGTCAAATTTCATTCACTGTACTAAAATAAAGATACTGCTAGACATATTGCATTGGAAAATTCCAGTGTTTCCATATATATCCTAGGCAGAAATCTACAAACTCTTCTTTTCATCTCTTAATCTCTTGAGGCCCTCTGTTAGGCTAAGTCTAATCCTGACAATAAATTTGTGAGATAATCATGGCTGAATAGATCCAGTGGAATGTTTTCTGTCAAGTTATAAAAAAAAAAAAAAAAAGAGTAAAGCTTTGATGAAATCTAAAATATGAAGAAATGTGTGATGACTGTATTTATATTCTCACTTGAGTTTTGAGATGAGTTAACTTTTTGTCTCTTTCACAATACTTTTCTCTTCCCATAAGTAATTGTATAAAATTATTCACGCTGAGTTGTAAGGAAATACCTGCTTCTTAGGAGCTTTGGTGTTGCTTTTTTTATTTTTCCTCATAGTTGCACAGGAACTATTTTATTCTGAATTCTCTTCTATTTTGATTCAGTTTTTCATTTCTATCTTCAGTCCTTCAGAAGGAAAGAGAGATTGGCCTATACCACAGAGGTCACCTGGCATGGCTTGTGATATCCACCCCATTGAGTCAGACCATTATGTTTTATCTACCAGTACACGTTTGTTTTTCCAAGATTATCTTTGTGGGAAAGAAAAGTACCTACCACCTGAAACTGGAGTTTGTAGCTTCATATGTTGCTTCATCAGATCCTTTGAGTCTTTTGTGTTCTCATCCAAATATTATAAACAGTTTGTAATTATAAAACTGATGCTATCTTTATCCTTCAGTAAGTTTCTTCCCCCACACAGGCACCTGGAATAACATCAGAGGATGGCAGGGCTTAAGAGGAAGTTGAGTCTGTTTCTTCTGATCTTGGGACAGTAAGACTTAGGAAGTTATATATATGCTGTTGATATTTCTATCAGTCTCTATGTTCTGGGGTTATCACGCCCAGTAAAGAGATGGTTGTAAATTGGCAGATGCTGGCTACTGTAGTCATTATGGCACAAGAAGGCAGGGAAATGTTCATAAGGTTTCTTTCTGGCAGTGTTGTATCTTTGTACATCCTTTGAACTTCTGTCACCAAAATAGTTGAACAGGCTGGGGAAAGTTCTGTCTGCATGCTGCTCTTCAGTTTAATAGAGCAAATTAGCAACCATTACTGGCTTGTCTTTTGTATTTATAGAGGCACCTTTGCTCATAGCAATGCATTGACCATGCAGTGTGTGGCTAACCAGCAATACTCTTGTCTTTTCTCTGCCTTCACATCACAATGAGCTGTTTGTTTTGGGCAGTGTTGTTGAGATATGGGAAAGACCTTATGTTAGAATATACTTTCTCTGTGTAGTTAAACTATGTGGATTTCTTTGGTCCCTGTGTACATCCCACTAGCTGTCAAATTGTTAACCATTAAAGTCTTCAACTATAATGTTGAATAATGTTTATTCTGCTTTGAGTCAGTTATTCTCCCAGTGGATGGCACAGTGAGACGGCGATGTTAACTCTTGCTTGGTATTACATCACATGTCAGTAAGAGAGCAGAAGTAGTCCTCAATTCAATGCCAGTTCCTTTCTAGTTTTTATTTTTATTTTTTAATTCCTGTTGAGTAAAATCTGCTGATAGATTTTCATTACTCTTCCATCATAATCAACAAATCCACTTTTTGTTTTAGTTCCAGGATCCATGGTCTCTAATGACTGAATTATACTTGAATGTGTGGTTTATGAAGAGAACGTACTATAAAAAATCTGTTTTGATTTCTCATCTTCATGTCTGCATGTAGCCATAGTTGAAAGGCTCAAACACATCTTCACATTATTACTTGATCAATATGATAAACACTGTTTTTTACAAAGTCAGAGATTCATCTGAGACTGAAATTTATTTCCAAATGCTTTGACATCTTGAATGCCTTACGTAAAACCAAATGCATGAAAGTCACTTGTCAAAAATATGATTTTGCTAAATATTTTCATGTGTATTACACATAACAATCTAAATATTATTTTACTTGAATTGCTTACCTTAAATTCAGACAAGAAAACTTAGAGTATACCAGTGCTTATTGATGCTCTCTGCACAGTGTAGGGAATAATTGAACAGTAGATACTCACTATGGAAGTAGTTCTCCTGCAGCAGCAAGTATTTGAACTGAGATCTGATATCTATAGAATATGTATTTCTACAAGTTTTTTCATTCATATTTAACTGAATTATCTTTGTGTCTGAATTCTTTTTAATAACAGAAGTCCTTTTTTTTTTATACTTCAATTCCTTAATTTATTTTGTGAGATACTTTAATAATCTTTGATATGATTATTGTATTTTGGTTTTATAGGAATGTATTATGAGAATGAATGCATAGTTCATAAAAATTATGTTCTGTAATACTGTGTATTAATGGAATGTAAGCCTTGGCTTACATTATGGTTTTTATTACATATTGGTTTTTATTTTTCTTATTTTACCTAGGAGGTCAGGACATTTTTATGACAGAAGAACAAAAGAAATACTACAATGCAATGAAGAAGTTAGGTTCCAAGAAACCACAAAAACCTATACCTAGGCCAGCGGTAAGAATATATGCTATTCTTCTGTCATGTACATTGGGTAACAGCAGTACATTAACTATCAAAAGTCTCCTTTAACTCTAAAATGGTCTAGGCCTAATTGAAATTCTCCATTCTAAATTGAAATTTTTTCATATTTTCATCCTTTAGGAAAATACTCTCATAATTGGTTTGCCTGGGGAAATACAGAATCAGAGGATCTTAAGAAGTAGAAATGTTTTGGGTTTTGAGGGGGAAACAGAAATCTAGAAAAGTGACTAAAGAGTGCTTGTAGGTTTTTGAGTATATTTTGAGTAAGAAAGAAAAAGGAAAAAAAAGAATGTTCATTACATACATGCTACTATCACGTTTTTCTTTTTTCTCCCCTCAGAATAAATTGCAAGGTTTGGTGTTTGATATTGTAACAAAACAAGCATTTGACATCGGCATTATGGTCCTCATCTGTCTTAACATGGTCACCATGATGATAGAAACAGATGACCAGAGTGAACTTATGCAAAATATTTTATACTGGATTAACTTTGTCTTTGTTGTCCTTTTCACTGGAGAATGTGTCTTAAAACTGTTCTCACTCCGTTACTATTACTTCACTGTTGGCTGGAATATCTTTGATTTTGTGGTTGTTATCCTTTCAATAGTAGGTAAGAAATTCTTACGTTTCAAATGAATTGTAGTAATATATATATATTAAATGCTTTGAAAAGTTTTATACATTAAAGGAATATTTAATTATCGTTGCTCCTGATTTTTTAGGAAATGAGAGGCATACTTCAGAGTAGTACCTTCTCAGTAATTCTGTATCAGTCATAATACTCATTTTTTCTAACAGTACTGGGAAAAAAAGCTCAAATTACAAATAGCAGATAAAATCTATCGACTCTTCGTCCAATTACATTTTCCAGAAATTGCATAGATAGATTTGTTCTTTGTTCATAATCTGTATTGTAGTTTATGTACTGTTATGTTACTCTTCTAATTTTATTTTTATGTTTCACAGGTATGTTTTTAGCTAATGTGATTGAAAAGTATTTTGTGTCCCCTACTTTGTTCCGAGTCATCCGACTTGCCAGAATAGGTCGCATCCTGCGTCTCATTAAAGGCGCAAAGGGAATCCGCACTCTGCTTTTTGCTCTGATGATGTCTCTTCCTGCTTTGTTCAACATTGGCCTGCTGCTCTTCTTGGTCATGTTTATCTATGCGATATTTGGCATGTCCAACTTTGCCTACGTTAAGAGGGAAGCTGGAATTGATGACATGTTCAACTTTGAAACATTTGGCAACAGCATGATCTGCCTATTTCAAATTACCACATCTGCTGGCTGGGATGGCTTGTTAGCCCCAATTCTTAACAGTGGGGAGCCGGACTGTGACCCTCATAAAGATCACCCAGGGAGCTCTGTTAAAGGTGACTGTGGTAATCCTTCGGTTGGGATTTTCTTCTTTGTCAGCTACATCATCATATCCTTTCTGGTGGTGGTGAACATGTACATTGCTGTCATTCTGGAGAATTTTGGTGTTGCTACTGAAGAAAGTGCTGAACCCTTGGGTGAGGATGACTTCGAGATGTTCTATGAGGTATGGGAAAAATACGATCCAGATGCAACACAGTTCATAGAATACAGCAAACTATCTGATTTTGCAGCTTCTCTGGATCCTCCTCTTAATATACCAAAACCAAACAAGGTCCAGCTGATTGCAATGGATCTGCCCATGGTAAGCGGTGACAGAATTCACTGCCTTGACATCTTGTTTGCTTTTACAAAGCGTGTATTAGGGGACAGTGATGAGATGGATGCCCTCAGAGTACAGATGGAAGATCGTTTCATGGCAGCCAATCCTTCTAAAGTCTCCTATGAACCAATCACAACCACATTAAAACGGAAACAGGAGGAAGTGTCTGCTACCATTATTCAGCGTGCCTATAGATGTTATCTTTTAAGACGATCAATAAAGAAACTTTCATATATGTATCGCAAAGATGGGGTTGATATACTTAGCAAAAATTATATGCTTTTTGGTAAGCTAAATGAAAACTCAGCTTCAGAAAAAACAGATATGACTGCATCCACCACATATCCACCTTCCTATGACAGTATAACAAAACAAGAAAAGGAAAAATATGAAGATGACAAATCAGAAAAAGAAGACAAACGGAAAGACAGAAAAGGAAATAAAAAGTAGAAGACACAAAGAAGTGGGCAGTGGTGGCTGTTTAAAGCCTCAGAAGATGAAATTTTTATCAATAACACTTCTGTTGAAGGATTATGCCAAAATGACAAGTTTTTACTTATTTACCAAGTGCTATTGTCAGTGCCTGTACCAAGATAATGACTTGTGGTAGCAACCCTGTATGTATCAGGGAAACAAGCATTCCAGAAAAATAGTTTTTATTACCAGCTGGCACTAATAGAGAGGAGACATAAAGTTTTTATTTGGACTATGTGGACTCTTAATGGAGTGCAAAATTACCAGTTCTAGTAAGTTTGTGAATATGTGTATCCACTGTGTGCATTTTATCTATCGTGTATGTGTATCTTTTCCTTTGGTGGTCTCATTTGCTGTAATTCACATTCTATTACTTGTAATTGTACTCTGTTGAGGAAGAGGATAAATGCTCAATCAGAGGAAGACAGTGTCATGAGTTAGTTAATGACAGTGTCATAATGTGAACATAGTCCTCTTCAAGCCACCACTTCTAAAAGCAGAAAAAAGAGTCCAGATTCTTGGACCTTAGAATCTACATCAAATCAACAGCAAATGATAAAGAATAATGTAATAATGTTAGAAAAATAATTTACCAGAAAACAAAACAGGAGAAGAATCACTTTCACAGAAAGGAGGTTAGTAATTTGTTCTCTTGATTTTACTATATTTGTTTAATATTTTCTATTAATTCTTCATTTTTCACATAGTCCTATTCAGTGAATGATTTAAATGCATCATGCTACAGAAAATTTCTTATTTGATGAATGCAGAACTAGTAAAAAAGAGTTAGTTTACTTTCAGGGTCCAAGATTACTCTTAGTTTATGAGTGTTTAAAATGGGATTTTATCATGGAGTAGCTATAAACACCAAATTTTTGCCTACAGGGAATCACTGGGGGGAAAAAAGTGGTAGCTTATTTTACTTAGTTAAGAAAAGAATGTAGACCTTCTAACAACTTTCATACTTCATTCCAATGTTAGTCTCTACAAATTTCATTTCACATATGTAAATCCTATTTAATACAGTAATCAAAGCTACATGTATAAAATGATAGCAAAATACCTATTGGAACAAACATTGCCTTAGTTTGTACATTAGGCTGAAATTAGCATACTTCGAGAAGCTGATCATGTTGAAGATATAAACTAAGTACATTGAAGGTAACTTTGAGCCTCATAGGACTTTAATCAGGTTTCCACTTTATGAAATGCAGTCTTCCATAGAAGGCTGAGATGACCAAATGATGTACTTGAATCAGCTTTGTTCTGCACTGTAGTTTAGATGACTTTTTTCACATCAAAGCTTATAGAACTCATGTAGGTAAAATTGTTCTGTTACTTAGTCACTTGTTTTACACAGTGGTACCTGTTTGAACAAAGAGACAATGACCTAAGTACTATATTAATTGCATTAAATATGTACCCTCATAAGTGTGGCTTTTAATATTTCAGTAAATTATATGATATATTCTGTAATACTCTAAATAATTGGGAAGCTTTAACTGATGCATGCTTGCTGCTATTATTCTACAGCTATTAAAGTCTAAGGTGGAAAGACATGTGAGTGTTAGAAAGAAAAAAACTATTCAGCAAGACCATCATTCCTCACAACAGTAAGCAATAGTTTGCTGCTATTATAGATTTTATTTTGAGTTTATTAATATTATGCTGTGAATAAAAAGACAATAGAAGATTAATATACTGCTTAACTTGCTTAAAATGTGAGGCTATAAAATATATATATATATATTGATCTATTTGTGTTATTTTGCAAATAAATTTATTTTATAATATTTTATACATATTAGAAGATAATACAAATATCTTTATGTTAATCATTTTTATTACTTTCTATCTGTAACAGTTTTTTGGGTTTTTTTGGAGGGGAACATAAGATACAATATGAATTGGCAATTGCAATTCTCTGCTAATTATATGAAAACAGATTTTAGTAAGTGGTAGTTTTCAAAGAAATGGACAGCATAGATCTTTTTCTGATCAGTTGATAGTTCCTTGTACGTGATGCAAGATGGAAGTTTTCTTTTAAAATCATACTCTTGTCTATCAATTTTCAGGTTAATTTTTGTCATATAAACCTTGTTTTTCTGTCATGTTATTCACACTGCCTGCTTGTTCTGTGGATTTGTCCTGCAGTAGTAGTGCTTTAAATATAATTTGCTATTCAAAATCTTTCTTCATAAGAATGAATAGTGAACTTGTGTAATGGGCAGTGGAATACCTTTCAATTCTTACAAAAGAAACTATAGATGGGCTTTTGCTTTTACAGAAACTGGTTTCTGTACTGGTAAATTGCATGCAGGATGTTGTTTTACCAAAAATAACTACATTGCTAACAACCCAGAAGAATAAAGATAACCTTTTTATGTATTTGTTTTAGTCTTTGTGGTTTTTATTGTAGGAGATTAATACAGTTTAACAAGTAATTGTTAAAGTTAAGGGTGAACAACTTCAGTGATGAAGCAATATGTTCTGAACATCTATATTACATGTTATTTGATGACTTGTATCCGTATAAACTTGTCACCATCCAGGTAAACTGAAATGTCTATATTGTCCTGCACAGAAAAGTTTTTATTTTTTTAATTTATTTATTATTATTATATATTTTTTTTAATTCAGGAAAGAATTCCATTGCAACTATGTGAGTTTTGTCAGATTTTTACAAGTTTTCTAGGAAGAGCTCCAGTGGTGTCCTGGCAGCCAAATTTTGGATGTCTCAAAGATACTGCTGATCAGTGGATCTGTAGGATGTTGTTCACCCTGAGGTTGGAGTGTTCTGTCATAGGAATAACCCCAGAAGGTAATAAGAGTGCCTTTAATCCCAATCCACCTCAAGAAACCCAGTGCTTCCTAAGAGAATAGAGAAGGACCTGTTAGAGTTGCTATGGCTACAGCACAGGTGGCTTCCGGCACTCAGTGCCATTACAGAGCCTGATAGGCACTGTCTCTGGCAGGAGGTTACAGGCAGCAGGATATGGGGCAAGCAGTCGTGTATGGGGTAATTAGTACAGTTTTCTTTTTTCACATGTTGTGAAGAAGACCTGATGTATACTTAGGTTAGAAGAGCTAAGAAAAAAAAAGTAAAACCCTCAAGTATGCTATTTTCAAGGACAATCTGGATGTTTTTTTGTAATTATATCTAATTTGATTTTTTTTTTTTTTTTGTAGTTTTGATCTGGTGGCTTGATTGTCTGTTTTAATATAGAACAGTTGTTCTAACATTCTAATTACTAACAGTACTTACACAAAGCAGTAATGTAAATGCTCTGTAAGAATTCTTGGTTATTTTGTTAAATTGCTGTTTAAAGAACAAAAATGTTTTGTCAGTACTAGATAGATAGGTAGCACGTGGAATAAGACTGAAATAGTTATACAAAAATTTTACTACAGATTCAGTAGTTTGCAGAGGTGTTTATGAGGTCATTTATAAAACCATTTTCCCTTAGAAATTTACAATCAGTGTTAATTTTTATTAAAAGTAGACTCAGACTGAAGTTATTCAATCTTTTGTGCAGTCAAATTCTAAACTTTTCCTTTGCAAAGAGTAATATATTTTCAGATTTCATATATATATATATATAAAATATATACTTGAATAAATTTGTTTTTTACATTTATTTGAGAAAATATAAGTATATTACTGTATTATATAAATATTCCAGTATACCTGGAAGTGATTTGCCAATGTGGAAGACAGTTGACATACAGTCTTTCTCCCTTATCTGCAGGTATAAAATACATTCGCGTTTCATGTTGATATACAACAGATATTTCAGTGCGAGTTACTCATATATCAGTATGTAAAACAAAACTCCAGAGCAGGAGAGTACTGCACTTTATTGCAGTTCACAGAGAATGAAAGATGAATTAGACCTGTACTCTTAAAATTTTCTGGGGAAACAACCATCTTTACTCCTCCTTACCCACCAGGACTTTTGTTTATGCTATATCTTTTTTTTTAATCCAAGATATTTTTCCAGAATGAAGGTGCTGTCAAAAACAATTACACATATATACATACATGTAAAACATATATAATATATATAGTGTATATGTATACATATTATATAATTATATAATATATATATTATTTTATAATTATTATTTATATTTAAACCTGACTGCATCCAGCAGAGGGCACAAACACCTGCTAGATCATCTCGATACTAATGGCCTCTTTTGCCACAGAAAGACGTGTTGCAGTCACTAAAGCAGGGAATGGCTTTTAGCTTTTCAAACAATTTATAGATTTTTAATTTCTTTTTTTTTCTAGCTAACATGATAACTCATCTGCTTTTGTAAAGGTGGCCTTCTTGGTACTATTTCTGTGACTGGGCCAGCTCTTTCTGCATGTAAGTTCTGTTAAACAGTTTGTGGCCATATATCTAGAGATAATAAGAACTGCCACACTTATCCAAGCTTCCTAAAATATAACCTAAGGGTGTCTATTAAAAAGGCACTGGGGAATTACACAGATTGCTTTGCCTTTATTAATAGGAAATATTCATTCAATTCCACTGTGCACACAAACCAGCTCCAACCTTCTAAAAGAGTCAAATGTTGAAGTATATATCTCATCTGCTTGTCTAACAATCGTAACAGGAAGTGTTATTAACAGTGCTTTCATGTTCTTTGAGCCTAGAAAATTCCTACAGTACTCATTTTGTAGTACATATTCAGAAAGGTTTATCTAGCTTCTCAGTGCATTAGGAGAAATATCCTGAAATACCTGCAGTGTAAGAATATGTAATGGCTCACCAACCTCTGCATTAGCAATGTGGTTTTCAGAGGAGGATGGAACTACTCTCTTTCATTCTCTGAGCACATCTAGGTTTTGTCTAGGTGATCCAGCATGCAGCTTCTGTTACTTAGCATACCTTCTATTTCCTTGCTGATCAGTGGGAGCTTTTAGAAAGAGAAACGCATATATCTTAGTGCTTGCCTGAAAAAAATCATACTGCAGTGTAACGCAAGCAAAGTACACTGCGGCACATCTCTCTGGAGAGGGCAGACTGCATGCTGAAGCACACATGAGCTCTGCTGCAAGAAAAACAATTGATGAAAATAAGGAATGACGCTTCATCAACAATTTACAACACTTAAAACCAGCAGTCAGATATGTTGTGCATTTGCATTTTCTGTTGTGTTAAAAGCATGTTTCATTCTCTTTAACAGCAATCTTGATGTTAATCTTTGTGTAATATGACAGCTAATTAAAAAAAAAACAAAACAGTTTTTTAGGACATACATATCTGAAACAATGTAATAAGCTGTTGTGTCTTCTTTTAAAATATTATCTATAACATGTATGTTCATAAATGGTCAGGGAATTGTCTGTCTTTGTAGTATTGCTTTATAAAAATGTCATGCTTGCAGATACCATAGCAACCCCTGTCACGTGGTACTTTCCAATTACTGAAGTAGCTTTATCCCTATACTCTGCAGCAATACTTGTATTAATATCTGTCTGTAAAGCAGTAAATACTGCATCTTCATCCAAAATGGCAAACTAAATGTGCCAGTGATGATCGTGCCTGGGGTATCAGGCAAAAAGCTAGAAAAATACTTTCCTCTAATGACAGGCATTATGAATCTCTGTAGCTTTATCTTATTGATGGCTGTCATATGTGACATTTAGGGGTTCATGCAGCATTCCTGCAAATACTATTAATATAAGTGTATAGAGATTTTAACTGTGTAGGGTTGAAAACTGAATGTGCTTTATGTGGTGATGGATAGGTGTGGAAATTAAATGCAGGTCCTTGACATCCTCTGTCCAGAGTTGCATATACTTTCAAGAATTGAAACAATTTGGGGAGCGATGGTCAAAAGCATTGTGAGCATTACTTCTCTTGCTCTATTTTTTTTTTTTCCTGACACAGTGCAACAGTTTTTTAGGTTATTCTTACTTTTGTATGAAAATAAAAAGAACAAGTGGGAATGTTTCTGTTGAATGGACAGTAACCATTGTCAGAGGTGGAGAAAATATTAACATGGTTTTTCTACTTGTGTTTTAGGACTAAAGCCTTCATTTCAAATTTGAATTTTACCTCATATGAGGACAGCTTCATGTATAGGAAAATTCAAAAGGTATGAAAAAGAACTGGTGACAGTAAAAGAAATTACAGTGCAGGTGCCGCTGAGAAGTTATTAATGTAAAATCTTTTGCAAAGTTAATTGGAAGTCAAAGCACTCTGAAATTAGAAGAAAGTATCAAAGAACATGGCATTGCAAAAATTCTGCAACAGAGTGATTAGAAAAGGTTGTCTTAGTACAAGGATCAAGAAAGAAAGCTGCAGGCTAAAACCTGGGGTTAAAAAATAGTTCATATCTCTGTTAACATCCAAAATGTGAATGTGTATGTACTCTTTTTATTCAAATCTGTCATTACATACACATCTTGAATCACTTTAGTGAGTAAAAATCTCCCAGTATTCTTATGGAGAAATAAGCCAGAGCATACTGGCTCAACTTTTCTATTATTTGGTACCTACTTGCTCTTCACCTTTGCTTTCCTTGTCCCATATTAAGAGGAAGTTTTTCACACAGAGGGTGGTGATGCACTGGAACAGGTTGCCCAAGGAGGATGCCCATCCCTGGAGGCATTCAAGGCCAGGCTGGATGTGGCTCTGGGCAGCCTGGAATAGTGGTTGGTGACCCTGCACATAGCAGGGGGGTTGAAACTAGATGATCATTGTGGTCCTTTTCAACCCAGGCAATTCTATGATTCTGTGATACGATTCTATGATAGTCTCCATCTCTTTTCCTTCTTCCTGCTTTTTCCCTAGTCTGGAAATAAGAGGAAATGCCTTTCAGCCAGAAAAACACAAAAACAGTTTATTGCAGCAGATGGTTCAAACAGTGGAGCTGAAGAGTAATTGGATCAGCTGTAGTTATTTCACATGTGACAGCACCTGCAAATGGTGGTAGGTAACCTCATTAGCAAATAGACTTCAGCAGCCGTTAGAATAGATGTTAAAAAAGACGTTTAGTAAAGAAATTAGAGATAATTTATTATCTTTTAGAATTAATTAGATTACTGATCACAAGGAATATTATATTCCCCTTAAAACTCCAGATTTGTATGTATAATTCAAATAGCAGATACACAGTGGTCAGCTCTCACCTAAACAGATAGAAAACACTCCAGTAGTGATTTAAACCAACTTTGAAACATGACAAAAATACCATCTAAATGTTTACCTGTAAGTAGAAGAAGATAAAAGTTTGTTCTTAAAGACCAGTAATCAACTTAGGTTTCTACTTGTGCTAATTTTATATACTTTTTTTTTTCATATGAAATTATATCCTTTTAAAATGTATCTCATCTGAAAAAAGTGGTAAGGACTTTTGAAAAGTGTGTAGTTTATTCATAACCTTATGAGAATTTCTTTAGGTTAGACATTTTGTTAACAGTTTCTAGAGTAGAGTTAAATTTCAGCGTAATTTCAGCTATTAACTTCTCTAATGCTTCAAAAGAAATGTTCTCTCTTGGTTCCAAATAACTTTTCTAAAATTTTGCTGATCACTAAATATATACGCTACTGAGACTCTGGTCTTGAAAACTTTTCTTTAGAGATGACTGGCTCCTGGCCAGACTGGTTTATGACAAGTATTATAGACAACACACTAACATGGCAGTAAGAAAAGTAGATATAATAAAACAAAAGGCCATTCCAAATATAAGAAGTTTTCAACTTCAGTAGAAGAATTCTGTAGGATAAGGCTACTGAGCAATTGCACATTTCTCTGTATTTTGTAAAACATACATACTCAAGTGTTTCTGGATGCATCTGATTAGTTTCAGTATGTATTAAGGGATTACTACAAATTCCCTTAAAATAATCTATATCTATTACTGTCATTATGCTGACACGCTATAGTCATGATTAATCATTACTGTCACAGACAACACAGTATATTTCCATTAACCTTCCGTAACTTCCATAGAAGTTAGCAAACCTGTCTTGCCATTCTCTCATTATTTCACGATTCCCAGGAGCATGCTGCACGCTGTTAATTCAGTCCCATGCTATTTTTGCCTCTGTGCAAACACTTGCTGACTTGTAGTTAATACAGTAGTTAATACAGTGTGGTGTTATGTTTTTCAGTTATTTCTCCACCATAATTTCTAAATTGTAAACTAAGGTGGAAGAGTTTCATTAAAAAGAAAAGAAAAAAAAAATAGTAAGAAGATGTTCAAAATTTACAGAAACTTAACACCATTGTGTTAGAATTTTTGAACTTTGTGACTAATGAACAACTTGTCTGTGTATATCTGTGTATAACTAATAATTCCTTTATAGCTCCTCTTGGAAATTACCTTTCCCTACCAAATCTTGCCACGTATAATTAGTCAGAAGTATGACTACAATGACGTCCTTAACTAATTGAGGCTCATAATCATTGAGGCTCAACTTCAAAATATCTGGAATCAACTACCGTAGACAACTGATGTGATACCTTTGGTTTGTGGGAGTTATACCAAATCCAGGATAGTGTAAGATGTCACCCGTTCAGTGAATTAACTTTCAGGATTACTTTCATCGATTGGTTATATCATACTGCATTATTTATTTTCTGTTTCTCAGTGTATTTTTTTTTTAATTAAAAAAACATTAGGTTTTCTTACTGCATCTCAGGCATGCGTAAAAAAAGATTAGTCAAGACTGCATTGAATCATGGAATTAAAGAGTTTCCTCTCCAGATTTACATGATTCAGAAGTGCATCAAGCATAAGTGTCTTTGCCATAGTCACATTTTTCAGGGATTAGAAGAGATTTTTTTAAAAAGTTTTTATTCAATTAAAGCTAAATTCTTTGAATTCCAGAGATATTTTTAAGAATCTAAATGTTCATAACATTTTTATTTCTTTATTTACAAAATAGGCCATGTACATGTTTATTATGATGCAATTAAATTTTTTAAAAATTTCTCCACTTCTTAAGGTATTTTAATCAAAATGGGTGAGTTCTATTTGTTTAATTACTTCTTAATGTCTACCAGAGTATACAATATTATAGTAAGATGTAGTGTCCCAATAGGGTTATTTTATTTTATTTATTAGCATCTTGCTGCCCCACCTCTAATGGAGTTTTATTGCTTTTCACTGCCTCCAAGCTGAGTTATAGCATCAGGAAGTAGAATGTACTGAATGCAAAGCTGAATGCAAAGATCCCTTGATGGTGACTTTTTAAATCAGTGTGGCGGAAATATGTTTTGCTTTGTTCCTTCACTGCGTCGTGGGGAGCCATTTAAGTTTTTTTTATCCTTTAGCTGAAGAATTGAAATGGAAGTAAGCAGGTCTGTAACAGTGGCCACTACCATCTAAACCTGACTAGGAAAGTAACATAAATAGTAGCTCATATTTGTTAGCAAGGCAAAAATTCCTTCTCCCTCAAGGTCCCCCTCAGTCATTAAATTTAAGAAGTTTAGCTTTTAGTGGCATGAACCTTTTGATAATGAACATGCATAAATCTACTTTAAATATCATTGTTTCTGCTATGAATATCTTATGCATCTGAAAATAACTGATGAACATCATACAAACATGTATCTAGTAATAATATATGCCCCTTAAAATAATAAGAGATTTTTTTTTTTCCCTTAGCTTTAAAGGATTTATTCGAAGTAGTACTCCCCTACAAATTAATAGAATCATCCTCCTTCATCTCTGGGCTCTCAGCCCAGATTCCTGAGTATGGCAAAGAATGAGACCGAAGGCTTTAAAATTAGAACTCACCTGTCTCTTCACAAATGCTAATAAAATAGAAAAACTAACTTATTTTCAGTGGTATGCTCAGTAAATGTATCAAGGCTTTTAGAGATAAAACGGTGTGAGAGTGGGTTAATTCTACAGCATGCTTTCCAAGCAGGGGGTTAAATTTCTGAAGCAGGCAGCCAGCCTGCGCTGCAGTACTTTGCAGGTATAGTTTGGACAGCAGACTTTTGCAGTTCAGGCTCTCAGAAACACAGAGATTTCTGATGTCCTTTAAGAGAATATTGAGAAATTCAGTGAACTCCTGATTCTTTAGAACTCCAGAAGTATGAACTGGCTAAAAATATGTCTGGCTATTCAGATTCAATGTCTGTATTATTATAATAAATAATAAAAAACCTGCTAGAGTTAGTGACTGTGTGGAAGCAGACAATGGTACTTTTTACCTCTGTTGGATTTGTTCTAAGTGCAGAATATAAACAGATCTAATAATGAACTTCAGCTTTAAAAAAAAAAAAAAAGTAAATTTTGTTCACTTTGACAATATTTTTAGGAATAAGGAGGAGTGCAGTAGAAACAGAATAGTGTCTGTGAATTTATTATTTTGAGTGGAATCTTTGACATAATGTTTTTAAGTTGCATCTTTGACTATTTTTAGGGCAAAATAGAAATACTGATTAAAAGTACTGTCATTTGAGATGCTATTGAACCATAACTTGTGGAATAGCCAAAAATGGTAGCAAAAAGCTGTATTTTACTGATAACTATGAACCACTATAGTAAATCAACTCTGGAGGAGTTCATCTCTACCTAGTGTATGGTGAAGGAGGCACCAAAGATTATGAAGCCTAAGAGCTTCAAGAATTCTGTAGTGGAGAAAAGGGCCTGTTCTTTGGGTGGGACAGCTGCTGAGGGGTAGCAGGCACTGTGCCTGAACCCAGAGCACTCAATACAAACATGTGAGAATAGGTCTGCAGGAGTTTGTTTCAGTCAGGTTGATGGTATTAACATTGCCCCAGTACCAGCCCTTTGCTGTTGTCAGTGCAAAAGCAGATGGATGCCTTTAGAGAATGCTGCCCTATTACTCCCATTTTTTTTTCCATTACTTGGACACTGAGATTTTGACAAGTGTAAAGGAGATGATCCTGATTTCCTGCTGTTGTACTAATTGCAAAGCAATTCATGCAAAGGTAAATCTGTTCTGTGAAATGAGATAGGCATGGAGAAATCACATCAGATGAAATATTTTTTTTTGTTCTTTTACACAGTGTGGAGAAGTTCCTTCTGTTTCTGCCACCCAAAGAATTACTGGTAAGTACAACACTGGATGAAGTTGCAATTTGTTTGGGATGTCTTTAAAAAGTATTTTGTGTATTTCTAATGGGAAATTCAAAGAGAATAATTAGATGTTACCTAAAAATATATCGCTGATTACGTAGTTATAGTATGATGATGTTTCTCAGCGTTTTATAAAATGATAAGATATTCTAATTAAAAAAATAAGGGGCTAAAATGGAAATAGTATAGTTTTACCTCACATAGAAATAAAAAAATATTATGGTATATAAAGAAATGTCTGGTAGATAGTGGTTCCTCTAATCCTAAAAACAAGCAATTTTTTTTTGTTTTGTTATTAACCATCAAAATTATCCACTAAAAAATGTTTTTACTTGGGGAGTTTAATTCCAGTGAAAAATAAATAAAGGAAGCTACTTAATTCTGGTGGTTGATAATAAGATATAAGCCCTGCTTTTGCTTTGTAATATAAAAACAGCAGTCTGGTTCTTTAGGATTGTTGTGAGCAGTTACCATATGATGCTTGTACAACACTGTATGGGAAATGCATTGGTGATTTCGGGGACAGTGTAAAAAATCCTGCATTGCTGCTCTGCCTGTTCTCTGTATAAATAGGGAGAATTCTCCAGATATGTCAATCTGGCACCTTTCAAAAGCTTTCAATTTAGTTACTATTTATTATTAATTGTTAAGTGCTTGCAGTACACTTACTACTGTGAAATGTAAAAAGATAAAGTCCTTGTCCTGAGGAACTTGCTTTAGAAGATGAACAAAACCAACTAATTCTTCTGTACAACAAATACAGTTTGCTTTGTGCTTTGTTCAGATTCTCTAAAACTGTGGTAATGTGGGCTTCAAGGCAGGTTACATAATATTTCTTTACTGACTTTCACATTATCCCGTTCAGAGTGAAAAGAACTGTCAGCGCGTAGTTGGCTATATGCACTGTGACAGATTTCACTGTTCTGAACAATTGGTCCCAACTACTCTCATTTCTTATTCAAGGTTTCAAACCATTTTTGAAAGCTATCAAATTGCATGTTAAACTGCTCAAGAGAAAGAGAGGACTTCTGGGTGGGAAGACAAGCCAGAGACATTGCATACTGAACAGCAGGGGAGGCATGATATTACAAGGATGATACTTCTAGGAAAGATATCAGACTAGTCTGTGTTCCTTTCTCCATAAATAAGAAGAAAGTTTTGTGATTTTCTTAGGACTAGAGAAGGAGAATTAATAGGTAAAGCAAAGGTGTCATTTGCTTCAAAAAAGGGAGTATATACACTACCCTGTATTTTTAAGTAGAATGTGTATGATTTTATTTCTATGCCTTTTTCTCTCTAGTACGTGACACATTGGATATTTTATTGCAGCAGTTGTATTTGCTCAATCCAATCACATCAGAGTCCCAAGTGTGGTCATCAGTATTTTAAAAGCTTCATAACTAGTAGCAAAGTGCTCAATGTTAACATTTGCTTGGATAAGGAAGAATTTTGTAGCTAAAAATAAAGAAGAAAATGGAAAGAGGAAAAAAGAAAAAAAAAAAAGAGAGAGAGAAAGAGAGGAAAACGGTGACCTGAATTATACAGAGAAAGAAATGAAAATATATAATAAAAATATTCAGGAACAGAGGAAAAAATGTGATCCAATTGTGATAAGCATAAAGCATCTATGTAATATTTTCTGAATACTGTATGTTTTACTTGCATTATGCTTGTCTATGAATGAGTTGGCTGGACCAAGGATTCTAATGGTAAAAACAAGAAACCATGATATTGGAAACAGTCAGTCTGACTGGAAGACTGCTAAGGTACCAGGTCAGAACAAATGAGTTAGAGGACTCCTGGCTCTGCTGATTGCAGGTGTCCCACCAAAGTTAACCCAGTGAGCCAGTGCCTGAAACTGGTTAGGAATACAATAGTACTTGACTGCAACCAAAATGGGGGGCTGTCTTTTTAAGAGGGTTAGTAAATGTTTGGAGTTGTTCAGCTTCCCATTTAATATATAGGAACTTAGGACTTCATGGCATTATAAGCTTTAGCAAAACAGACATTCCATGTAGACTATTCTTTTTCCTGTTGGTTCCTGATTCTTTCTGTTAAATCACAGCTGTCTAGTTGCTATCCTCATGAAATTCCCAAATGAAAGATCCATAGCTGTCAGTCTCAATTGGAGATAAACACAATTCAATAAATTCAAACATAACCACTCAGATTACTATGATACCACTTATCTGTTCAGGATACAACTATTAACATTTAACTCCTCATTAACATTACAACCCTGTCCATAAAATTCAGAACCTTTTACACAGTGGCATTCAAGTCTATTTATCAGTAATCTATTCTAAATAATCTAAAAACATCATGAATATCAGCATATACTTTGCAATAAGTGTAATCAGAAGGGATCTTGAGTAACTAATGTTTGTTTTAAAGAACAGGCCAAGAGGAACACCAAGCTGATACAAGTACAGCTTTATGGGAGGTGATCAACTGATGAAAAAGGTCAACTGAACTCTGAAAGTGCATTAGAATAGGCCACAGAAGGAAATAACAGGTCTAGGATCAATACTTCAGACACTTATCACTAAATTTAAGCAAAGCTAACTTAGATACTAAATAGTAAAAAGACAGCTTCAGTGTAATGACGTAAACACAGATAATTGAAAGTATTTTTCATTTTTGAAGCTCTTGACTGTGTAGTCAGTTCTAAAATTGAGCACTCTGGATAACATTTGAGCACCATAAAAGGAGAGTGAGGGCAATGAATTGTCCTTTCGTTGTAACCATTTAGACAGAGCGCTGAAATGCAATCAACAGATAAAGAGTGCTGGAAAAAAATAATTTTGAATTCTTTAGTGAGTGACAATGTGTAAAATTAGGCCCAGGCTTATTTCCAACAAACAAGAATGTTTTGTTTTTTTTTTTGTTTTTTTTTAATTCCACTGGCATTTATACATCAGAATGGTTAGAGAAAATAATCTTGAGAAGGATGTTCTGTCAACAATTTACTTTCTATTTGCTCAGTGAGATTTTAAATAACAGTAGACTAAGATCTTCAGAAACTTTCTTTGCTTGGATTTTCAAATTACTGGGATATGTAATGCTTCAGTGTTCTTGAAAATAGCAACATGGGTACTAGACACATTTGAAAAAATAAGAGGTTAGTATGGCAAAACAATATAGTATGCATATATGTTTTCAGTAGAGACTCTATGGAAGCACACATGTATGCTTTTACTACACAAGCACAGAATTTGAATCTCTGATCAGTTTCTATTTCTCATGATAAGCAAATTCCAATTCCCAGCCTATCTTCTATCCAGTCATATTTGGATATGGGTTAGGCTGGTTTTATCTACGTGTCATTTGGGTGCAAACAGCAAGAGATAAAGTAGTAGAAACACTTTCAAAGTTCCCATCTTTACGCTACAGGAAAATCAGGCCTCACAAGCCTGAACTGCTTTGTGTTAGCAAACAGTAACAGAGAAATACTTGTTTAGATACAATTACCTGTCACATGAAAAAACAGGGTTTGCAAGAACCTATTATTTGATAATACCTTGGTGTTTTTTTTTTTTAATATATACTGTATATGCATAGTGTCTACCTTGCTCTGTTTGAAATGATAGGTGCCCAGCTACACTGTTTACAATAATTTTTATTGTAAGCAAAGGAACACACATAATTCACATTAATTACTGACAACTGCTTTGCTTTTTCTATCAAACTGCTAAAAAATAACAATATAAAAATCATGTTTGCAGTCTCTTCAGGTTTTAGGCTGCAAATGCAATTCATAAAGCAAGCTGAGCAGTAACCATAAGCAACTTAATACAGATGTCTACTCAGAATACCTCAAGAAGCAGTTAACATTTCAGTAACAAAACTTCTAAACACAAATGAAAATTAAGCTGTGCCAATAGAAGAAAAATTCATACATAGAATGCAATGGCATTCTCCAACAATAAACTCAAGTATTTTAACTTAGCAAAAATAACTCTAAGATTTAGTTGTTAATTAAACATACTTTTTCTACTATCATGTATATTACATTTTATTCAGCTATTCTATTTGTTGTTGTTGTTGTTAATTATTTATTTAGGAAGGAAAACTGCTGATGTCTTCTCAACTTCTTGATGTTGATGGGTGAGATAACGTTCTAGACAAAAGTTTTTATTTTAGAATTATTATTTTGCTCTCTGACAAAATAATGTGCTCTGCATTTGCTTGCAGGATTTTGGTTAAAAATGATCTACGTGATCTCTAATAATTATTTTTCTAGTTATTAGTACAAGCTTAAAATCCTTTAGGAGACCACCACTTTATATGTCTATCTTTATTTCAACTCTCTTTTGTTTCTGTTCAATAAAAATTTAAGATCAATAGTTCTTGGCCTGCAGTATCTATGCAGAGCTCTTTGTCTATGCAGACAGCAAAATCTAACCTACATAAACAATGAATTCTCAGCACCACAAAAAAAAACCAAAAACAACAACAACAACAACAAAAAGCAGAAAGCTCTCTATTCACTCTGGATAACTGGCAAATAATAATCTTCCTCTAACAGATATTTATAGCAGATAGACTGCAAAGATATTTGGGAATAGGAAGGAGATATTCTGGGGAGAATGCTGAAGGAATCTTGGAAATGTTCCACAAGCTTAATGTATTCTAGTGGCTATTTTTTCCTAGTTAAAAAAAATTGTGATTCTGAGACTTCAGGCTTGTGTCGAATACAAAATATTCATAGCAAGGCAGAAAGGCATTTGAATCAAATGATACTGGTGTATCCAAAATGGTCATTATTATGTTTTTCAGTGTGATGCCATTTAGGAAAGAGGACCACCTTTTATACTCCTGAATAGTTCTCCATCAAGATTTGGGTATTTTTGTGGCATTTGTGATACTCTTCTGCATCCCTTGTGATGCACCAAAAACAAACAAACAAGGAAGTCCACTTCAGTCATAATTCAGTCGCATTAGAAAAAAAATAGTAATCTTTCTGATGCATTGGCTATTGCTTATGATGGCAACATCTAGAA